AAAATGGTGGTGCCAATCTGTCGTGGTGACAAGCTGACGGCGGCCGCAGAGGTGCCAATCAGTCGTAACAGTACACGACAGATTGGAACCTCGAGAAATGAGTGGTGCCAATCTGTCGTGGTGCCAAGCTGACGGCGGCCGCAGAGGTGCCAATCAGTCGTAACAGTACACGACAGATTGGAACCTCTAGAAAGGGGTGGTGCCAATCTGTCGTGGTGCCAAGCTGACGGGAGGTGATATTTCAGGGCTTCATTTCAACGAGGTTCCAATGTGACGCTAGGTGCTAAAACACCATGGTGCCAATCTGTCGTGGTGCCAATCTGACCGACTCACATTTATTCCCTATTTAAATAGCATTAGTTTAACGAGTACTCTAGGATTGCTGCAACAGGGAGGGTAAACAATATTTTATTTGTAAAGTATTAATAACTTAGTTTAGTATGAAATAAATACATTTTCCAAATGTGATCAAAATATACTCATAAAAAAGCAAAAAAACCATTTACTTTATTCTCCATAAAAAAATAACATGGAAATTTCAAATTAAACATTTTTTGGAATTTTTTCTGTAACCATTAGGCGCATAAAACGCTTCAATATACTAAATTATTTTTTTTTATTAAGCTCTACAAAATGGTTTGGAAAGAAATTGTTAAATTTTATGTTTTTAGGATCAAAAATGAGAAAAACCAATTTTTTCAGATGGAATGGTAGAACATTATGGCAATGGTAGATGTGTAATACTAAAATATACCGTAAATTTAAAGAAACAAATTTTATCAAAATGTGTCCTCCCCCATTGCAAACGCAAAGCTTGAGTATAACTGCAATAAGCATTATATACTGATATGCCAACCCCGTACGAAGGACGGGTACTCTTCTAGTACCTATATATATATATATATATATATATGAATTTGATTGGTTTATTGCTTTTGGCCTCTAGGGACCTCAAATGAGAAAGTAAATTGGTCCCGGGTCCAGGTCTTATCATGAGTACTACGGTAATAGCTTATTGCCTATATGGGAAATTCGCTAAAAGGGGTAAAAATAATAACAAGAGTTTATTTTCATTTTCACTCATAAAATACAGTTTATTAAAAAATAAATTAATAATACTACTTATAACAATTTTTAGACGACTAGGGGTTTTGTTATAACAATAGTTTTCAACATAAATTTAGGCTACATTAATTTAATAGATTTGATAGTACATCTAGAAAAATCAGTGGATTTTAACCATCAGTAAATGCAATGAACTTCCCTCAGTGTTACAAAATGTTAAAAAAAATATACTATATCGTATGAGTCAAATACTTTTGCTGGAAATTCAATTACACTACTCAAATGAAATATCCATAATTACATGAAAGTTTCAACTGTGAAAAGGTATACCCTAAGGTAATGCTCAATTCTGAACAGCAATATTGTACAACTTACTAAATGTCACATTTTTTACTATAGTTATGTATCACATCACCTTCTACATTGCCCTGTTTGATACAATGTACATTCAATGAGTATGCATTTCTACATCAGTTTGTGGGTTTCAAATTACACTCAACTATTGATTATTTATGGCAACTTAAGTAACATGTGTGTAGTAAGACAGGCCTAAGAAGGCACTTCACAGATCGAATGAAAACGCTACCATGTTAGATCGTCTTTAGTCACGATAAGGGCCTCAGGTAGCTGGATTCGGAGGCAATGTTAATATTTATAAAAGTGTGTTACAGTGGAATTTCTATAAGAAGACCTTTGTTAACAAGTGTAATTGTCAAATCCCCTTGAATTTATTTTACCCCCAATCACATGTTATTGCAGACCTCAATAAGAAGTCAACCTTGATAACAAGTCTTATTTAATCCCCAAAGTCCAATCCAAGTCCAAAGACCAAGTCTTATTTGGTTTATTAGAGTCTTGTTATCGAGGTTCTAATGTATTTTTCACCATGATCTAGCTCGCCCATACCAGGCAAGCCTCCTTAGGCTGGTCTGACTATAACTTTTGCGTTTGCGTAGGCCATTAAATTGTCATCCTTTCTTTAAACAATTTATAACCTGGTGCGCAACGTTCCTGTTTGGAAGTAAGATAAGAGTTCAGGCTGAAAGATATATTCAACACAGGCCTGATACTATAGCTCACAAAGGTTATATTTGAAAAACATTTAATTTACTGTAGAACCTTGTTTTATATTTCGCACACTATCCTACTTATCTTGAATTGAAAAAGCTGCAGGTGGCAGGTTAGGCACGTGCTATAACCAATAGCCTTGTTTGTGAACAGTTTGGTGTCACTACCATCGAATGAGGCATGGAAAACTCGACATTCTGAGCCAGTCTAGGAGACTTTATGAACACACTACTATGTTTCAATATTAGCGCAATGCCTACAGAACTACTGCATTGATAGCTTGAAGATCGCTGTGCATCTGCTACTTCTCCGACCCCAATGTGAATATTTTTGCAACACCGCTGGTATCACAGTTAAGCCTCAAGGTGGTTAATGTGATTACAGTTAATCAAGAGTTGAGTGCTTAGCTTCATCGGTGCCTTTAATTTTATAACACTATCAGTGACACAACCGAGTTTTTTTCCTGGGTGTTAAAACATTTTAGACAAACAATGTTACATAAATTAATATAAAAACTTATTAACACCATGTTTAATCAATAAACTTGTACATGAAATTAAAAAAAAACACTTACTTTACATATTTATGAAATATATAGTAAACAAAAAACAACACAATCGGTGTCCGAATTTTTTTTCTTTTTTTTCGGGTGTTGAAAAATTAGACAACAATTATTTTAATACATATATCAATACAAAAACGTATTAAACTAATCAATAATTAATCAATAAAATTGTACATGAAATTATGAAATCAACAAAAACTCTTATTTATAAAAATATATAGGTAGCAAATAAAAACAACAACACCATTGGTGACTCACGGAGCGGGGCTCCATACTACATGATACTTTGGGCTTCCACTGGTTAACCCATTGGCGCCAACTTACGAGCGTTACTCGTACGGCCGCTGCAGGCCCGGCGGCCGACTTACGAGTGCCGCTCGTGTCACCGCCATTTGTTATTTAGTTATTATTATTTTTCGCCCTTTTTGTTTCTTCTTACTATTATAATGTTTATAAATATCTTGCTTCTTGATTTGCGTATTTACTGATTTATTTTAGTGAATAACAAACAATTTTGTGTTGCCATGGAAACCACATCACCAAAAATCAGCTGCGGTAAGGTAAACAAACAATAAAAAAAAAAATGTTATTACTTATAAAAGTACACAACTTTTGGTTTTTCTACGTAGGGAATCGATTGAACTTTATAAAAGTAGTGTTATTTGGTGTCTGGATTAATCTTGGAATTTGTATATCAAGTTTACTTTCAAAATATTGTTTTTTAAATTTTTATTTTTATAATCTTTATATATAAATTTTTAGTTTAGAACTTTGACTATCCAATTACCACTTTTCTGTAGACAATTTTACTGTGAAAAAAATGGTGAAAGAATTATTAATTTATTACCTAAGGTTTTCTTTATATAGCAGTTAGAGTAAAAGTCTACAAATTCGGTAAAATTAATTGCCGCCAGAGGGTGCTGCAGGTATCGCATTAATTCCTTCCCCAATGGGTTAATGGGGTTTTGCGGGGGAGGTGTAAGATCAAAATACCCCTGCTGCAGCAAACCTGTCGACTCTAAGCTAATTTCTATTTGTCTGAATGGATTTTCAATTAAATCTATTTAGAATACCTAGGTTTGCTGCTACAAGGAAACTAATAAAGTGTATTTTTTTTATATTAATAGCTTAGTATAAAATAAATAAATTAACCAAGTTTGATCAAAATATATACATAAACAAGCAAACTACGACATTTTACAATATTCTCCATAAGAATAACATAGACATTTTAAAATTACAAGTTTTTGAATTTTCTCTGTAACCAATAACCATACAAAAACACTGATATACTGAATTATTTGTTTTATTTAAACTCTTTAAAAACGTCTAGAGAAAAATTGGGAATGTGTTTGTTTTGAGGTCACAAATGAGAAAAACCCATTATTACCCCATAAATACCACTGTAAAACCCCGTTCCCATGGTCCGATCATGTTGTTCACGAACTCATTCAATACAATACAATATTCTTTATTGTTCATTCGTTCAAGTTCATCATTCAAGTTTATCCCGCCTTACACCTTCAAACCAAATTTCAGTTAGAGTTGTTAAACTTCTTGATGTTACAAAGTTATAAAATAACCAATGTAGTAGGGGTTTTCAGTTATTCAATAAACATTAAATTTATCTGTTGTGTAAATTTATTTGTTTGTTTGTTTTGAGGGTCAAAAATGAGAAAAACCAATTTTACCCCATAAATCCCTCCGTAGAACCCTGTTCCCATGGTCTGATCAGGCTGGTTCGCGAACTCATTTAAGTTTATCCCACCATACACCTTTAAACCAAATTTCATCAAAATCGGACAAAAATTACTTAAGTTATCGCATTCACGGACGTATATAAATCTATATGTATACATATAAATAATAATTGCAAACAAATGGTTTTTTTGGCCTCTGGGGACATCAAAATAAAAAAAGTAAATCGGTCTCGGGCCTAGGTCTTATTGTGCCACCTACGGTAATAGCTATTTCCATAGCGAAATTCGCTAATATGATCAATCGGTTTCTAGAAAGATGCACGTGAGGTACCGTTACTCCTAAGGCTGCCGACAGGCAATATCAAATATTTTTCTATAAAAACAAAAGCGCCCGGAGGAAAACTCCATGGTGTTACCGATGGAGGGTTAAGATACGCTTAAATCTATAACTAATTTGTGAATAATCTGTGAGTAATATTATTTAAGCAGATGTGATTAACTTTTAATACGTACATTGTACAAATATAGTTTTGAAAATGTTGTAATTAAATCATCAGATCTGGGAAGTTAGCACTAATAAGTCCGAACAAAATTAACTATAATTTTAATTTGCAATCATTTAATGCACACAATGAAATTAAAAAACTATGTCATGTATAAAGATATCAGCACTAATTAATTAAGTAATTTTTTTCTATAAATAAGATTACCATCTACTTAGTAGTCATGATGGTAATAAGTTACTCGTTGCAAAAAAATATATTTTTAACATTATTTTCACAGATTAGAGTTAAAAGAGCATATTATCGAAGCTGCCGACAGTTAGGATATTTTTTTGACTTGATCTAGGCCTAATTCTCCTGTTTAAAAAATAAGTTTAGTAAGATAAAATAAGTTCTTTTAGATCTTACAATAAAGCTTCAAGTAGTTTGTCATGGCACTAACTGACAACCAGCAGAACTAAACTTAAAAGAGCATGTGAGTTGTAGAGGCTGGCTGCACTGTGAGCCATCATCTGTCGTACTTTGTCTCTGGCGATGTTGTCATTGGGGTTGCCATCACTGCCATCGAACCACAGCCTCATACACGCTTCAGAGTCAGGAACAACCTTCCACGAGTCGTCCCAAACCTTGACAAACCATCAACAACTGGATTTTACCAAATAATTTTATAAGCCAGTGTGTATTTCAAGAGTATCATAGGAATGTTACCAGGCAGGCAAACCAGTATCTTTCTGGGGTTTTAGGAAAAAGCCCTTCCCCACACACAATTTACATGACAAAAACACCAAACAGGCATACTAAGAAAAGTTTAGTATAGTTAATTATCTTAATAAGATTTATAAAGTACTAGCAGAGTACCCGTCCTTCGTACGGGGTTGACATATAATATAAGTATAAAATGCTTAAGTTGTACTAAAGCTTTGCGTTTGACAATGGGGGAGGACACAGTTTGATCAAATTTGTTTCTTTAAATTTACAGTATACTATAGTATTACACATCTACCATAGTCATAATGTTCTACCACTTCACCTAAACAATAAAGAAAAATTAATTATTAAAAATTCGCAAAACATCACAAATTATTCATGAAATTAAAAACATAAACATAACTGTAAACAATCCTACTTTGACAGTTCTCACTGCACTTTTGTTGTTGCCTAGTTCAAATTAGCTGTTCATAAATGCAAAAAAAATAATAGTGCTGCACCCTGTTGGTAAATCTTATAACTTTTTAATGCTTTTGCATATCATAGAATCAACTTTTTTAGTTGAAACGGAGCCCGAAAGGATTTTTGAGATAAGAATATGCATATATGTTAATCGGGAATGTGAGCTATCATCATGCCAAATTTCAACCCAATCCACCCAGCAGTTAATGCGTGATTGAACTTCAAACAAACAAACAAACACACAAACTTTCACATTTATAATATTAGTAAGATGATTTTTTCTATAAGTTCTACTTTTAGTTGTTTGACAGTGTGTCTATGTACAGATATCGGACAGTGATTATGCATGATTATAACATACTAGCACTAAATGTTAATTTGCTCTTTAAGATGAATAATAAAAGTGTATACCAAAAATAAAAATAGAATATTTTACTTAATTGCCAGTGGATATAAAATGTTTTTTGATTTTTCATTAGATGTATAAATATATAAATTTTTAGGCGTACCTACCACCACGTGAGCACACAATATACAGCTGTCCGTGTGAAAAGCATGCATTTTCTAAATGTAAACCGACGATAGTCAGGGATTGCCCTAGTGCCTTATAATGGTGATTGCAAAAGCAAGACACAAAGGAAATTTTAGTTGCTTAAATTCAGAGGGTAATTTGGATGAAATCATCAGTATTCTTGGGATTAAGACTATTTTTCTTTTAAACTTACCACTGATAATTTTTATTTCAATCAATTTTGGTGTATTTTTTTAATTAATTGTCAGTCTGGTAACGTTGCACAGATTTGGTGGATTTAAGTTTCGCATTAGTATTATTGGAGTTCTTTCTTTTAATGACAGTAATGTGGGGGGTTAATGACAAATTGAGAGGCATTTGAATACCTGAGATAGCAGTAGCACACAAGATTATTATTCACTTAATAATTTATGTTAGATTGTATGGGTGTAGAACAAAAGATAAAAATATTAAGGCATTGTCATCCCTTTTATTGTTTATAATACTTTGATAAAGGTTTTTATGTTTACATATTTAACATTGGAAAATTTAAACGTTGTTGAGTGCACAGGTGTGCTGTGATTTGGGTTTAATATATTTGTACTTATTCAAAAGTAAAATAGTTTTCTGTGCTGCACTCTGTACAAAACATTGTGGCTCTATGTCAAATCATGACTGGATCAAATAATTTCATGATTTTGGTGTGATACAGCATGTTGTGATTATTCAAACCTACAAAATAGTTGCCGGGTAACAGCTAGTTATATTTATTCGTAAACATTGTAGTTCAAAAAGTCTGACATTGGCCCACTTAAAACCCTCTGGGGCGGAGCCCTTTTGACGGATCTGCACCAAACTTCACACAAACCATCCTTGAATAATGCTTAATAATGTCTGCAAGTTTCATTACAATCTGTCAGGCGGTTTCTGAGTCCATAAGGTACATATATATATATATATATATATATATATATATATATATATATACATACATAGTTCCTCTTTTATAGATAGGCTATAGATTGTGTAAAAGCACTTTGAATATCTCGGTACCTTCGTCTTGTTAAATCACTAGACTTCCCCTTCTCCACTTTACTTACTTCAACTCTGTGATCAATTACATGACTGTAAATCTTGGTTTTATGCTGCAAGGCTCACAGAATTATTGCTTATGATTCAAGATGCTTTGAGCAGATTACACCTTATTATATTAAATCAAAAATATGATTGAATTTTTCGAGGTCGATACAAATTAAATTGTTAGCATTTTTGATTTTACAAAAAGTTTGCCAAAGTATTTTTAAGTGGCTTTACCTTGGTAAATAAATGTGGTTTGTGAAGCTCACGCATTGCATTTGATACATTGTGCATACTTCAATCATAGGAGTAGAGCATATGACAGAGCCTTTGTCGTAACTGCCTACCATGTTTGGAACTATCTACCTCCCTCCATAAAAATGCTTGAAGGTCGTCTTCGGATTGTAGCGGCACTCAACAAAGAGGGCGTCCTTGAACTGTTTTGGTGCTTGACTGAATGTGTGAGTCATTTTTGTTATTTGACTTTTGTTTTTGTAAATTAATAATATTTTATGTTATTATATTTATTTTTATAATATTACTGGTATATTTATTTAGATGTATACAAGTTGAGTGTAAGAAAGAGCTAATGACCTTAACTTAGTCTGGTGAGAAATAAAGGATTTGAATTTCATTTACCTTCTGACAGAAGTTATTTGGGGTACCAAATATTTGGCGGAAAGTGCGACATTCTGCCTGACGTAGACAACTATTCCCCTCTCCTTTAACCCAGATGAAGTTTCTTATCCAGTTGTCGGTGCAGGTGAAGTCGTCCTGACAGGCTAAGAACCACGTTTCACAGTCACTGGCACATAAAGGCACCTGGTAGTAGCGCTCTTTTCTCATTTTCATATTTACCTGCACACAAAAGAGAGCATCAATATATAAATTAAAGCATTAGCTATTAAAAACATTGTCTAAAGGCCTAAACTAAAACTAAAGTGTAATGATTGAATTTTACATACGGCAAATCAAAAGGTCCTTTGCTAAAAGAGTTAAATAACATAAACACAGCATCAGAATCAATCCCCATAAATCAAGTTAAGCACAGAACATTATAGATTTACATCATCACTGATATTATTAAAAATAATTTAGAGATAATAGAAGTTTGCGGCAAAGATTTTACACTTGACCCATGAGGAATTTTTACATAAATTTACAAGGCCCCCAAAATAGGAAAGCGATGTTTTAGGCCTATTGAAAAAGAAAGTCAATGATAGACCTAATATTCTATCAAATAATTCAGACATCCCAGGTTCGACGGACGTGTTTGTCTTCCACTAATGACCCCCGGAGGACAAGTCCTTGTCTACAAAAGGCTACCTAATCGTTCATTCTTGAGCCGGATCCTGTGATGGTAAAATGAAATAATACAGGCCTATTTCCATCTTACTTCAACTAGTAATTCATGTACGATGTGTGTGTTCGTGTGTTTTGGTGTACAGAACCTTCTTGACGACGTCTGAGCAACCGACTTTGGTTGAAATTTTGTATTCTTGACAGTGACAAATCATGGCGCAATCAGTGTCAAAACCAATATAATATTGTAGTGTATCAAAACTAGTTTTGGACTGGGGCAAAATATAGGCTAAGTTAAATAAACCACTACCTATATATAGCCTGCAATTTTGGTTACAATCAGTTGTTTATCAAATCAAGTTGCATACCTTGACGACCCACGGGCCGATGTTGGGTGAGCACTCATAGAAGCAATGATCTTGTGTGAAATGCCTCTTACAATTCTCTGACATGTTCCTGATCTGATTGCAATGGTTGTAGTTGAAGTTGTACATCCTTGACTCATGAATATTTTTTGTAGTATTGTAGGTGCAGCAAGATCTGTTCTTCCACGGTGTACACTGGTCAGGGAAAAGAATGCTTGGTCATAATAACAACACAGGAAACAATTGATCTAGAGCTAAAAAATATTAGTAAAATATTAAGTATTTGCAAAGGGCTGTAGGTCAGATAGGTTTGATTTTGTTTTTGATATGAAGAGCAGGCTTATCAGTGGTCAGTCAGTGGCCTAGAAATAATTCAATATTTTTTATATATTTGATAATTGATAATATAAATGTATTCCTATTGAGAAGGCACCCACTGTACAGGTAAGCCCTATCAATGTATAAAAATAAAATATTAATATTTGTTTAGGACTATAATAATTTACAATAGGCTCTAGGTTATCTATACTATTATAAAAAAGAGGTGGTGTCTGTGTGTGTATATGGGAAAAGTAAACGCGAAAACTACTGGTCGGATCGGGCTGAAATTTGGCATGATGATAGCTCACATTCCCGATTAACATATAGGCATATTTTTATCCCAAAAATCCTTTCGGGCTCCGCCCCAGTGGCTCTGGAGTTTCCCATGTTAACCTTATGAGAAATGAAATTATTGAATCTTAACAGCTGTTTCAATTAAACAAGTTGGTTCTGTTCTGTGATGTTGAATAGCATTAAAGTTACAAGGATTACCAACAGGGTGCAGCACTAGCACTATTATTTCTTTTACATTTATGACAACAGCAAAAGGTGAGTGAGCGTAGCGAACGAACTTCAACCTGGAGGCGAGTGAGCGTAGCGAACGAGCTAACCTGAAGGCAAGTGAGCGTAGCGAACGAGCTAACCTGAAGGAAAGTGAGCGCAGCGAACGAGCTCCAACCTAAAGGTGAGTGAGCGTAGCGAACGAACTACAAAAAGAACCGAAATTTCTTAAACCATGTCCTCACTCATAACTGCTATAAGCATTTGATACTTATATGACAACCCCGTACGAAGGACGGGTACTCTGCTAGTTTTAAATAAATTTAGAATTTAGAATAATTTAGATTGTGCATCCAAACCATTAATTGTACTTTACCTGCTTCAATCAGCCTAAAATAAATTCAATAAAAGTAGCCAAGGTCTATTTATAATTCATTTTCATAAACTGTTTCATATCTGATTAACAATCTGACTGTGGTTAAAAAATAAACTGAAGGTTAGCTGTTAAATTACAACCAACATTTTAAACCGTAATAAAGAAAGTTGGTCGGTAATACTCAAACTTTGGCAGTGCATTATTGAAATAGGTAACTTACATCAAAGGCTAGGGGGGCGAAGCTCTCAAGGAAACAACCTTTTTAATTGCTGTTTATCCCTCCACTAGATCATAAGCTTTAAAATGACACACCAATCATAACAATGGCTTTAGTAGGACAGGTGAAAAAGGGACGTTTCAGAACCCTTATTGTATTAAGTAAAGACAGTTCAGTTTTGTTTCTATATTCGGTGGTGGGTGTTTTTTCCAGTACCAGCCGAAACTATTTTTACGGTGGATTGATAACATTATTTTTCTCTGTTTTTTTACCCTAAGAGGCATACGGGCCCTTTCACACGAGGCCACTGGTGGCGGCCACCAGTGTGCGCCCGGGCAACTGCAGTGGATGGTACAGGCAACTGACAAGCCACTCCACTACAGCCACTGTACAATGGTAGTTGCGAAAACGCTGTCGAACAATGAACATCTCCTTCTTCTCACGTTGATAATAAGGAAAAGAAAGCGAAGACACAGGCGTACTATCCAAAATTGCCGGGTACTTTTCAATTTCGCAAATTAGATCTCCAGTATTCACTTTGTCTTCTATTATTTTGTTTAGTCTCTTATTCTATTCTTCTTTCTTTGTCTTCTTCTTTTTCAGCAATGTCCTCTTTATTTTTCTTCCGATCACTCATTTTCACAAACAAACAATTCAACACGAAAACACTCAAGAACTACCATAGAGCATTGTCTGTGCACGTAAACTGAACCAAAATAGTAGCTGTGCGCGCACCCACGGTGGCAGCCACTTGTGAAAGCTCCCATTTAATTCAATGCCCCGTGACGAGTTGCCGCCACTGCGGTTGCCGACTAGCAGTTGCGCGAAGAGACACTGCTGGCTGGCAACTGCAGTGGCTGGGTGTGAAGGCTCCTATTTAAAATAATGTTAAAGCTGTGGCAATCCAGTGGCCTCATGTGAAAAGGCCCTAAGTAAAGCAACATATGTGTTCCCAGAGTATAAATTAATTATTGGGCTAATGCTAACTTTAATACTTAGTGAGCTTTTAGGTTTTGTTGTAACTTTAAAATGAAGACCTGAGAAAATAGTTCTCCCTCTGGTCCAGGTTTTTCTTTGTGATTTTTCCCGTCTAAGCACCAGTTGAGCAGTTCCTCAGGATCGCCAAGTTTTTTGGCCATACAACAAGCCATAAGAGTCAGTGCTATTTGTGCTGACACTGCCCACATGTTTGCATCTGAAACCAAATAATGTGTTCTACTGATTGAGTTTGATTCCAGATTCATTTGTCACAGAGGTCCCCAATCGGCCATAAGTTAAAATGATCGATTGCCAGTTCTAGGGTTAAAGAGTTGTTTATTGTCGGGACCACGTAAGTTTGCAGTTGGTGACAGCCAATCACAAGACAAGGCTAGTGCGACGTTGCCACATCGCCCGTTGACAACACTAATTAAAATATACTAAGCAATATATTAAAATCAGCTGGTATTTAACAGATTTGGCAACACCGCACGGTTCTCAATGGTTCATTCAAAACCATAGGCCTATGGTAAATAGGCTCCTCCCTCAACTGCAAACTTACGTGGTCCCGACTATAATTCACATTGTTCAATGTATTTTTTTAATAATAATATCTAGGCTAGGCGTACATTGTTTCAATCCATTTTCGATCATAATTAGTTTAAGAGATAACTAACGCCTATCAACGTTCCATTTTTGCTTAGTCGTAATAATATAGGGCACCTTTGGGCTGATTTGGTTGGTTAATTAATTCAAAATAACTTGTAAAGATTATTTTAATAACTTTAATAACATAGTACCTGGGGACCGAGCTTTGCTCGGAGAAAATCATTAGTTCACTCTGAAAGCAGTCTTAGTATTGGAGATACATAAATCCATTCCCAAACTCCACACGGCTCGCCTTTACTACGTCCTACACCATTTCCTACGTCATTGACCTGTTTCCCTCCATTCCCATAGCATTTCAGAATTGCAGACACCTTAATCTAATCGTCATAAACAGTTCCCACGCTCCATACTACTCGCCTTTACTACTTCCTTCACCACTTCCTGTGTTGCAAACCTGTTTCCCTCCCTTCCCATTGCATTTAAAGATTGCAGATACCTTAATCTAATCGTCATAAACAGTTCCTACACTCCGGACTACTCGCCTTGACTACTTCCTTCACCACTTCCTACGTCGCAGACCTGTTTCCCTCCCTTCCCATAGCATTTTTGGATTAATTTTTTTTTATTTTCTAATTTCGACATCATAAGATGTGGGATTGCCCCTGAACTAGTTATAATAACTAATATAATGGTTTTAAATACCTTCAGTCACCTTCACTCAAAACTTGCCCGCCTGATGATGGTACAACTTCGTGCCGAAACCTAGGTCGCAATAGCCGACTATTTTGAACTGGTGACTGAAGGTATTTAAAACCATTATATTAGTTATTTTGGATTGCAAATACCTTAATGTAATCGTCATAAAAAGTTCCCACACTCAGGACAGCTCGTCTTGACTACTTCCTTTACCATTTCTTACGTCGCGGACCTGTTTTTCTCCCTTCCCATAGCTTTTTAGGATTGCAGATACCTTAATCTAATCATCATAAACAGTTCCCACACTCCGGACTACTCGTATTGACTACTTCCTTCACCACTTCCTACGTCACGGACCTGTTTCCCTCCCTTCCCAGGGCATTTTAGGATTGCCCATACCCTTATCTAATCGTCATAAACAGTTCCCACACTCCGGACAGCTCACCTTGACTACTTCCTTCACCACTTCCTACGTCACGGACCTGTTTCCCTCCCTTTCCATAGTATTTTAGGATTGCCCATACCCTTAATCTAATCGTCATAAACAGTTCTTACACTCCGGAAAGCTCGCCTTGACTGCTTCCTTCGCCACTTCCTCTGTCGCGGACCTGTTTTCCTTCCTTCCCATAGCATTTTAGGATTGCAGATGCCTTAATCTAATCGTCATAAACAGTTCCCACACTCCGGACTACTCGCCTTGACTACTTCCTTCACCACTTCCTACGTCGCGGACCTGTTTCCCTCCCTTCCCATAGCATTTTAGGATTGCAGATACCCTAATCTTATCGTCATAAACAATCCCCATACTCCGGACTGCTCGCCTTTACTACTTCCTTCATCACTTTCTACGTCACGGACCTGTTTCTCTCTATTCCCATAGCATTTTATGATTGCCTTTACTCCTTCCTTCACCACTTCCTACGTCGCGGACCTGTTTCCTTCCCTTCCCATAGCATTTTAGGATTGCAGATACCTTAATCTAATCGTCATCAACAGATCCCAGACTTCGCGCTGCTACCCTTGACTACAATGTATCGAGTAATCTTCAGTGTATAATCTTTGCTAAATATTAACAAGGGATGTTTTTCCTTTTGTACTGTATTTGTAATTTGCTAATATACTGAGGGTAGTTGGCTTATTATGAACACATGCTACAACTTCAAGTCTTTTGTTTACTTTTTCCTTGTTATTTAATTCAGCCAACATGGTTACCTAGCAACCCATAAGACTAATGTTAAAAAAATGTGATTTTCAGTTTCATCTTTCTACGTAATTAGATTTTTGTTGGCAGTTCTAACTCCAGTAAATTCGTTTTTAGGCCAGAAATAAACTATTTACAACATTTGAAGAAAATCGTCGGAGCCGTTTTCGAGATCTTTGTGCAAGCAAGCATACATACATACAAGCAAACATTTCTCATATTAGAGTATAGGATTATTAACCTATAAAAATGCCCTAGGCTTTATACGATTTTTAAGTTCATTTGATGGTTAAACTAACAAAATAATCAGTTTAGTTAAACCTATCTGTTTATTTAAATAAAGACTGAACTTTAGTTTAAGTCCTACATTTACTCGCATACTGCAGTTTGGTTAAAGTTAGGTTTAGTTTAGAACAGATTCATTTTATAATCAGCTGGTAGTTAATATACAGGGTGAGTTTTAAATGAGTTCCCCCCCCCCCTAAATTTTTCTACGTTTCTTAAGATATCAACTCCAGACTACGTCAGATCATTGTAGAGTAGTAAGTACTTCATTTTGACTGAGTATAAATTTTTGGCCGCCATCTTAGATCCGCTATATTGGATACAAAATTTTTTTTCAAATGTATAGGTAGGGTTGTGACCCATTGTTTCAAACTAGATTTTTACGCTGAATACGATGCTGCAATTTGTTAAAAAAAATCTTGATCCGTTCTAAAGTTATGAGACCTTTTTATAACATTATTTATAGCCCATTTTAACATTTTGTGCATTTACAAACTAAGACCATAATCTCAAAATCATCAATTATCAATTATTTAAGATGGGGACGCCACTATGTGCGTATTTTAACCCAAATATGAGTGAAGGATGAGTGTAGGATGAGTGGCGCGATCTTGTAGTCTTGTTAGTGACTAAGGCCGACATGTTTCTTAGACACAGCTGTTAATTAATAGCCCATACAGCTAATGGCAACTAAGGGACCTACAGTTTATTGTGGAATCCGAACCACATTTTTTCCTCGTAATTAACGAATTGGTCTAATTATTAGGATAGCACTGCGGATAGTCATAGTACTCACTAGTGCGGACGTTAATCCACACCAGGGAGCATCGCATCCAGCACAGTGCTTTCCTATAATTATCCACAATTCGTGACCTCCTAGTAGCTGGATTACAGGACGACGCCACCCGTCCCAATAAGACATTTACAAACGAAGACCATAATCTCAAAATAGTGCTAGATAAAGATAAGTATACTGTGTACACCACCATTCATTGTCGACCAATTTTCACTTGGTTATGAAGGATGTATTTGTTTTAGCTGCCATCTTCGATCCACCATTTTGAAATGCGATAAATTATTTTAAATATGAAGGTGGTGTTGTGACCCATTATTTTGAACTACTTTTTTATGTTGAACTCAATGCCACAATCCGTTTTTCGTTATCAAGCTTTCTAGATGAAATATTACAATCATTTTTTTTTTAATGTCAATATTTCAAAAACCAAATATGAAAATAAAAAACGGATTGCGGCATTGAGTTCATCATAAAAAAGGAGTTCAAAATTATGGGTCACCACATCACTTTCATATTTAAAATAATTTATCACATATTAAAATAGCGGATCCAAGATGGCGGCCGGAAAAAATAAATCCATCTAACCAAGTGAAAATAGGTCTACAATGAATGGTGGTGTATAGGCCTACTTATCTTTATCTAGCACTATTTTGAGATTATGGTCTTTGTTTGTAAATGCACAATGTTATTGGGCTAAAAATAAAGTTATAAAAAGTTCTCATAACTTTAGAACCGATCAAGATTTTCTTAAACGGATTGCAGCATCCTATTCAGCGTAAAAATTTAGTTTTAAACGATGGGTCACAGCACTACCTTTACATTTGAAAAAAAAACTTTGTATCCGAGATGGCGGTCAAAAATGTACCTATACCCAGTCAAAATAAAGTACTTACTACTTTACAATGATCTGACATGGTCAGGAGAAATATAGAAAAAAGTAGGGGGGGAACTCATTTAAAACTCACCCTGTATAATGTATAATAGTAAATGTAGGACGTAAACTAACGTGAAACCTAGTTAAATACAATGATATAAGTTGCAGCTCGTGGATTGCTGGCTTAGTGTTGGGTGCTTGGGTAAACACTCCACCACTCTCAATTGGCAGAAGCTGCCACTACCTATGAACTTCCCTATTATGATGCATTACTTTACAGCCATAGGCGTCACACTGGGGGAGCCTACCAACACAAAATATAGTTCACATTTTTTAGCCGACCAACACAGTAAAAATCCAAATAAAAATACATTTCTTCTACTTTCTAAAGTGGTTTTAAGTTACTTACAAGTTATTTATTAGTGTTATGGAGGTTTTCCATCAGTTAACTTACCTGCAGACCTCCCAATAGGATGGTGTTCTGGTTGTGCGCCCAAATCATGTGACACCTCTGTTTACAGTAGGCTTAAGCTACCTGTTTCCCTTGACATAGGCCTAAGTTCCATACATCTGGTTAAAATTTTGCTGGTAACTTTACACTGAATGTTGAAAATAAATAAACTTGTTGACATGAATAAATCTTAGATGTTTTAAGTTAGTGCAAATCCAATGAGACAAACAGAAATTCGCTTAGTTTTCTGTGACAGGAATATGTTACCTCTTTTTCTTCATTTGTTCGTTTCAAAAATCCAGCAAGCACAGGCCCAAAATAATGTAATATATAGGCCTAATTATCTCTTGGAGTTTTAAGTTTTTGAAAAATTGTACTGGGTCTATATAGACCTATGATAGAGGGTAGGGGTAGACTACAGTATATGTTGTCAAAAAAGACAGAATGAAAATATTGATCGATATAGGGTATCAATTGTTTCATTTGATATTGTTTGGTTATAGGTTAGGTTAACCTAACCACATTAATATCAAATAAAATAATCGATATATCGAATAATTTTTCATTCAGTTGTTTTTGACAACAGATACAGAAGTTTACCCGAGGGTAGATTAGGGAAGAAGGCCCTAAGTATTGTAAACATACTGTAGGCTAGGTCTGGTTATAGGCTGGTTATAATACCAAAAAATGGTAGTTGTAACATAATTTCAATGAAATTTCACGTTATAATTATTGTTTCATACATCGACTTACCCAGTGAAGAACCTAGGCTATGCCTAATAACAACACAGCCCGGCACTGCTTCTTGAAACTGTAATCTCGGGCCTAGCTAGGCAATAATTTATTGGAAATGTTAGCCAAAAGCCACGAAGAAAGTAATGTGATCATGTGCCTACTTCATTAACTCAAATTAAAAAAAACTAAAACTATCTCCGTTGAAAATAAGAAACTGTTGTTTGTTATTTGTTTATTTTGATTTGTTATTGTATTGTTATTGTTGTGTTGAGTATCTTGTTTCTTCTCTTGCAGTCTTGCCTTGCGTCACATGTTATGTTTTTAAATTAGAAGATTTAGTTTGCCACATAGGCAAATTTGAGACATTGACCATTGAGCTCGCAGTTCAACATTTTTCCCATATAGGCCGAGCCAATGATTATATATCTACGTGTTAAAAATCAATGTGTTTTACCTTATTGTTATAAGTGTTATTTTATTTTTTTATGTTGGTTTTACAATGGTTTTACCTTAGTGTTGTTGCTTGGCCTACAACCTTATATATAATGCGTGAAGGCGATTTCTACGAAAAACTACTCCTCCGATAATGGACGGATTTTTACAAACTATGTGTAAAAATAAAGTATTTTTTGTGTAGACGCCCCCTTTCACCAATTCCTGTAATAAAAGGCTTCGCCCCACAGGTCATCAAAATTCCAATGTATTTCTTATGAAGAAAAGATTTTGTTTAATTAATAAGACGAAAATGTTGTATTAATTACAGCTGTTCTGCTGTTCATAATAAACACATGAGCCTTCGTTTTTAGAGTGAGTTCGTTTTCAGTTCTGATAACTGGAGTGAGTGGAGTGATTCATTTCATTTTCCTTAAGTTGTCATCTGGGGCCCATTTCATAATAAAGTACAAACTAATATTATTAGTAAATCAGCTGATCGCCCAATGCAAAAGTTACAAGTTGTAACTTGTAACTTGTAGTTTATTATGAAATGGGCCCTTGAAATTATGACTGTTATTCGCTTTGAAATTGTAATACTTTGCAATTAATTGCTCGAATTCGAGCAACAAGAGCACTAGTCTACTTAAATCAATGATATTGACTTGACTTAGTAGTGGGGATGAATGAAATTAATACTTTATTTCCGTGAACATGACATTGACACATGTATGGAAAAAGTCAAATAAACTAATACTAAGTACCTAAGAGTACTTCAAATTGCAACAATTATATGATTTGTTTGTTCCTGCAACACTCCATGCATGGAAAATAAAATAAAAACACACTTGCAGAACTCGTAAAACATACTTACAAGTTGTCAGGAAGTTCAAAAAACTCATGGATTGAGTAAAGTGGGTTAGCCAATAGAAACTCCCTCACCCTCTTTTGGAACTTAGTGCACCTATTTTGGATGAGTTGATGAGTCTCATAGCGTTGATATCCCAAAAAGTTTACACTCAAATAGTCCCAATTCCCATACCGTTTTAGATATAACCATGTTTATCTATGATAAAACTTACTCTTTTATAGATTTATCTTCCTTCTATGGATGTTTTTTGTTTACTCAATAACGTTTATTCGACCAGAATAAAAAAAATCGCTTTTGTGTATCCAGATATCACAATAATTCTCAAAAAGAAAACTGTAAACTAAATAAAACTGTTTTGATGTAAAACTATCAAAAAGTGAATAGTTTTCAATCGAAAACCCCAAAATGCGTACCTTTAACCCCCCCCCCCCTTTTCCCCCACCACCCTCTGGCTCACCACCTAGGAGTCAGGACTTTTGGTATGTTAACACCCTAGGCCCCCTGAACAAGTTTCTGAAGGAATCGCTTAGTTACCTGCTCACACACTCTACACCTCATTCCTTGACTGGACTAAAAATTAAAAACGGGATGGTTTGAGGTTTTTTTATAATTCTTAATAAAAAACACCAAAACAGGACATTTTTATTACCTCGCCCTTGCCTTAATTTTTGACAAAATTTTATGATTAAAGTGTCAAATTACTGGATATTTTGTCAAGATTTCCAGACTATCGGTTATATTTCCTTTGGGCGGATAGGATTCGCCCCATTTCGCATAATAATTTACATGTATTTCTTATGGAAGGAGTATTTTAATAAGATATTAATTAAATAGGTAATAACTCGTAAATCTGTTTAACCAAAATAAACACATTAGGTAGGTATATACTTTTCTTGTAGAAAATTTTATCTTCTTCAATTTTATAATTTAGTATAGTATACAAAAAGTTGATAGTTTTCGAGATAAAATAAAAAAAAACCCAAAATGCGTACCTTTACCCCCCCTTCGCCCCTGGCTCACCACCTAGGAGTCAGGACTTTAAGTATGTTAACACCCTAAGCCCCTGAACAAGTCTCTGAAGGAATCATTTAGTTACCTGCTCACACACTCTACACCCCCTTTTGGATCATTCATTGACTGGACTAAATGATGGAAGATCATTTTCAAAGATGAGGAAGAGTAGGACCGAAGGGCTGGCCTTCAAATTCAGTCTTGTTTGTTGCCTTGAGATAGTTCTGACATAAATTTTTCAAAATCAGCAAAACACATACCGAGCTCTATAAACAATTAAGTCATGACTAAATAGAAGGGGTTTACAGTCAGCTATATTTTTAAAATAAATTTGAATTTATATAGAATATTGTTTTTATCAGCAATTGCTTTTGCAGCAGCAAGCTCACACTTCCTTCTTCTTCAAAACTTATTTTGTTTAAATGTCTTAGATTTATTTTTTATGAAACAGCTTTAGTTGACTTGAGAGAGCCCAGTTTAAGCAGGATTTATCATTGGTATTGAGGTGCTGTATGTGAACTGTTCCTAAAACAAATTACTGTAAAACACTGGTATACCGAGTTTCTGCTGGAAATAAAGATGATTTGATTTGAAAAACTAAAAAATTACCTCTGCCACAGCTAACTTGCAGACTAAGCAAATTTCCATTTGTCTGATTGGATTTTCTCTAAAATGTCTATCTACTTAAAAATGTCATATTTATTCCCAATTAAAAAAATCATTCAACGTGTTTGCTGCTACAGGGAAGGCAATAGTGATTTTTTTTTGTTAAATTTTAATAGCTTAGTATAAAACAAATAAATGTTCCAAATTTAATAAAAATACGTTCATAAACAAGCAAACAAAAAGTGTACTTATTCTTTATTAAAATAACATGGGAGTTCTAAACTTTTTCCTTAACCAATGGTTTGGAAAAAATTTTAAACTATGAATTGAGGATCAAAAATGAGAAAATCCCATTTTTACCCCCATAAACCCCGGTTCCCATAGTCCGATCATGCTGGTTTGCGAACTCGTTAGAATAAACGTAGGTTTAAATTTTATACCAAATTTCACAAAAATCAGATCATTTTTGCTTGAGTTATCATGCTAACGGACACATACAAAAATTAACTTGAACAAATGGTGTTTTGGCCTCCGGAGCCTCGACACAAAAAAAGTAAATCGGTCCAGGGTCCAGGTCTTACGATTAGACCTACAGTAATGGCTTTTTCTTATTCCCTATATGGGAAATTCACTAAAATTAAAACTTACTTTTGCCACAGGTGTAAGAAACTGTTCAAAAACATTGTGTTTGTAGTAATGTAATATTATTGAACAAGGGAGGTTTACAGTGTTATGGATCCCTAACCTAGGATGTTGTCCTGATAGGGCTACAGTTATTTGAGTCAGTACAATTATTTGGTACTATAGTATAGATAGAGTTATCATGTCAGGTAATGTTGTGAAGGATTAAATTTTGGAAACAACAATTGAGGGCCCCTTCATCAACGAGGCCTACCATTAGCTACATAAAAATCAGCTGTTTTAAGAATGATTTTTTAAATCTGTCACTGAAATATTTACATTATTTGTTGTTTACAAACAATAATAATTGTTGGTATGGCTGCACTTTACTTTACTACTTAGTAGGCCCTACACTCATTCCAATGAAAATATCGATCGATATATAGATTAATTCGATATATCGTTTGGTTAGTTAGGTAAGGTTAACCTAACGTAACTAACCAATCGATATTTTCCTTCGAATGAGTGTAGGACCTTAAGTAAAGTGCAGCCGTTGGTATTACATCTTATTTACAACAATAGGTACTATTGTACATTGATGCAACAAAATACTTATTTTTCATCCCTCATATTTCTTATTTCTTGCTTAATTTACATATACATAAGGAGCACTCTTCACTCACGGCCACCTTTAACTCCAGGCCGCGGCCTGGTAGATTTGGCAACGTCGCAGGTAGTCTTGTTGAACGCCAGACGTCTCATAATTAATAACATCAATCAATCAATCAATCAATCATTGAGATGGGGACGCCACCTAGGTGCATATTTTAACCCAAATATGAGTGAAGGATGAGTGTAGAATGGTGTGTGATGACCTGTGTAGCTTTGTTACTGACTAAGATCAGCGATTCGATTTCATTAGTCAGGATCATTTATTTAAAGCCCAATGATCAGGAACAGCTTGTGTCCGGTTTTGAACCATCAAAAAGCTACTGACTTTACGATCGAACATGACAGACAGGTGACACCAGCTCATTCATTTTTGTATTATTCATTTAAATTTATGAACTTAAATATATTAAAAGATTAGAAATAAACATATAGAATTGAAAACCAAAACAATATAAATTGAAAATCTATTTTTGTACATTTAGAATGGAGGCAATATTTTCATGGCCCAGTCATCAAGCTTTCGTCTTCTTAAAAAACACACAAATTCCATCAACTGCCTCCAAACAAAACAGCTGTAACAACACTACTTGCGACATTGCCACTTCGAAGGCCGTGGCCTGGAGTTAAAGTTGGCCGTGCTTCATTTGCATACTGCATTGTGTCAATTAAAAATCAGAGGAATAAAAACCTCCAGTTGTTCATTTGGACTCAACAAAGTTGAGGAAATAAAATAATCACCTCATACTTCACCCTACAGCGTACTACCATAGACTAAGCAACACAAGACTCCTCATCTCATTGTAAATATTGAAGCTTGTTTTTTGATGTACGCCCACACCGATCGCTGGGGTAGACAACATTTTGTTTCTATTATTTTAGGATTATTTTCATGATTTGTGCTTTACTATTTGGTCATATAACTAGGAGACCAGTTATTGTTTATGGTTTAAATCGTTTTATTTGGTTAAATGAGGTTTTAAATTACTGAAATAACAAGAAACAAATTGTAAACAAAACATAACCTCTACAGTTGGACGTACAGAACTAACAATAAAACTGGCTTCAGCTGTTCCATAAGGATGACAAATCTACTAAGGGAGTATGATTTATCTATGGTACTACTTTACAAGCAAGTAGATTCTAGTTATTTATTAAATTTTACATGATGACCAGCACAGTTTAAGAGGAAATTACTTGTTGACAAAGTGGGTTCCCATATAAATCAATTCAATTTAAAAAGATAGTCATGTGGCCAGACGATAAAGTAATTTGGTAAGCAAATGGTGGGCCAAAGTTGTTAGAAACTTGAAGATTAAACTTCTAGTAAAAAATTAGTTGTAATCCATCGTTAAAATATTTATTATAACTATATACTATTCTAAAACAATAACATCATCTTCTTCTTTTAACCTTTTCAATTTTTTTGATTTTACTTTTCCTGATTTCGATCTTTTACTAGTTGGATTTTCTTGTTCTAAAATTTCGTCTTTATGAAGAGAGGTCAATTTTTCTTTTATTTCACCTTCTATTATACTATCAATTGCATTATTTTCTTTAACTTTCTTTTTTCCTTTCTTTGTTTTCTTTATAACTGGTTCCACTTTGTCCGTTATAACTTCCATCTCATTGAACATCTGTTCATATTCTTCGTCTGCCTCAAAAGCTTCCGCATCTTCTTCTTTTATCTCTGGAGCTTCTTCTTTGATGTCTTCCATTGTAAAACTAGACTTGATCAGAAGAGCTGACAACCTTGACTGCATGTATTCCTGAAAGGTTTAGGGTATTAATGACTCCATTGATTAAACTATCTATTTCAAGCATTTTGGCCTTTTGAAGCAAACTATAGAAGACTGCATGAACATTTTTCAATGAGAGTTGGGGTTATGTTGTCTGATTTCTTTAATTTAATGAGGTCTAAACATGTGTTACAATTTTTATTTGACTATTTTCATAGTTACACCACTTTACCACAGTTTAATATATGGTAAGTGAACTAAATTTAAGATTGTGTCCATCAATGGATAAAAATTGTTGAACTGAAACAGTCATATACAAATATTTCTTAAACCGAACTTGACAACACTTTGATCCTCTGTTAGACAAGACAATAATTATGTAAATTACGCCATGGTGTACATATTTGTACTCAGCAGCAAAAAGCTAATATTTTTATATCCTGTTGTCAACACTGTTGCAAAGCTAGATAAAAGGGTAAAACCACAATTTTTCCACCCGAATACACAGTAATGAAATGAGCTGTAAAACTGTACCTTAAAAAGCAGTTTCTTTGTGTTGAGATGATGTATTCTGAAGTGCCTGTCCAGACTAACGCTGAGTACGTAAGGTTCAACAGTGGGACAAGCGACGGCACGCACTCCTCCCATGAAGCCTCTGAACTTGTTGAGCAGAACCCCCTTACCCCTCAGATCCACCAGGTACATGTTGCCGGCCGCACACCCGACTACTACATGGCTGCAATGTAGATAAATCTAGATAAGCTATCATACTAGTTATCATCTAGTTATCATACTTTTAGAGAAGCATTGTTAAACAAGCTTACCTGATAACTCAAGGGGCTAAAGTATACACAATTAGTATACAGTATCAGTAATAAACAGTATTAGCAATCTGAGATTTTCAACCAACTGTATCATGGATAAGCAGTGGGAGTAACTATGATATTTTATAGGGAAAATAACAAAAGTTGCAATAACTTTTGAACAACAATTGTTATGTCATTGCACTATTTTGTTTAGAATTATAAGAACCATAACATGCTAATTTCAATCAAGACACACTTTTTTCAAAAATCCGATTTTCAGTTTTTTGTATAGTTTTTATGGGAAAATAACATTAATTACAATAACTTTTAGAACCATAATTTATACAGCAATGGGAGTTATATAATTTTTTTCATCAATTTAAAGGGCTATAACATACTAAACTTTTATCAAAATTCAATTTTTCCGTTATTTTATGGTTTTTTATAGGGAAATCACAATAAAAAATCAAAATTTCAAAAAAATGAAAAAAAACCGCCTGGAGATATAATAGATTAACCTACAACACAAATTTCATCAAAATCGAACTAGAGGTTTGGTGTGCACCTCTGTACACATCCATGCATACAGACAGGCACACACACACACAGTAATCAGAAACGTTTTTAAGAAACACACAGTTAAGACATTTACATACACGAAACAACACAATAGCGTTATCATGACACGGAGTAAGTTGTAGGAAGACTGGCAAAGCACAATGTAACAAGTTATTTTTCCTAGGGGGGTAAATTTTGTTATTTGGCTGCGCGATTGTTGAGGTTGAGATGTTGAGGCGGCGGCGGCGAAGCTAGCAAGCGCCCTTTGACCGGGCTTATCAGTTCGGATAAGCTTGGGTATCCTGGAACTACAGGATAGCCTAGGATGGACATTCGAGTCGTGGATTTGGAGCAGTAAGCTTGTGTCTGGTGGAGACGTCGTGGAGTGTGAGTGGACAGTTGAAATTGGTGTTTGGTGGTAACCATATACAGTGTGGTGATACTGGTGAACAGTGGAGTTTGAGTTGGGTAGAGACCCGCTAGTGGTGAGTGGACGACGTTCCTTACATTTTGGTTTAAGAGTTGATATTTGATATTTTGATAATATTAATCTCTGATTTTATTGCAAGAGTTAGAGTTATAGCCTTGCTGGTTTAATCCTGTTACAGTAGCTAGGATTTACAGGTGTTAGGAATAATGCTACAGTAGCCTATATTCCTGACGGTTCTGGGCAGGCGCTCAAGTGCAAATAATATATTTTATTGACTGTGGTATATATTATCTTGTGTTGTACCAAGAGTTAGTTCCTTTACTAATACCTCTGAGGCCCAACAAACCTAGGCTACACAAGTTGGGGTGCGTAGTTGGAAGAACGCGGCCAGTAGGCTGATAGCTAATTTTATTAGCCTATTAACAGAAGCCCAGCTAACTAATATAGCATTGATAGTAGCAGCAGTAGTAGTAGCAGTAGGGTTTTTATTGGTTAATCATTTAACGATTTTAATTCAACCCGAACAGCTTGTTTGTTAATCCAACATGTTATCTTAGTAGCTTGGATAGCGTAGTATCGGCTATCAGATATATTTATCTAGTGTTTGGAAAGTATTTTATATTTCACTGCTACTAAGTAGCTCAATATTTTAATAGTAGTGCAATTGTCATTTAGTTTTGCTTGTTTGGCTTGGTATTTATTGAGACCAGCTACTAGAGGTTTAGTCACTCTGCCTATAGTATACTTGTATTATTATATGGTATTATTACTGAGTGAACTGTTTGATTGTTAGATTGGGCATTAGAGTTGTGTATTGGATTATAGTGGCCGAGTGGATCCTGCCTGGTGATAAACCCGCGTTGTGGTTTTTACTGACAAGTCGTTGTGTAACTCACATCGTTTAAGGCACTCTGGGCTTGACTATTGGATAGTTAGGACGAAGCCCGAGTTGCATAGTCAGCAACGACCCCCTAGGAGAGTGGAGAATCGGTGTAGGCCTGGTGTTGATTATTGCACGTTTGTTTTGGTGACTTGTTTTTGACTTGTTCACAGTGCCCGTATATGAGCCAGTCCTATACCAGTTAGACCCGGCTTTTGGCCTAGTGGTTTTCCTAGTAGCAGACCCTGGAACTTTACCCAGCCATTGTAGGCTGAGCTATCCCCGGCAAACCTGTGCGACTGCACTTTTAATATTTTTTTCCAGTGCGAGAAAAGTGTGTCGCAACATAATCCTATCACAACACAAAATCCAACGTAGGTCATTATCTTCTTTACATTTTATACAAATAGCATTACAATATTTTACTTGAATTCACTGAAACATCACCAACTACAAATAACCCCATTTTCGTGTTAATGTAAACAAAATTTTACTATGGCCATCTGTTTTAATGAAAAGAAATGTAAAATTGAAACAGTTCAGATGATTGACAACAGAATTCAGCACAAACTCTGAATTTTTAAAGCCTGTAGGACGAAGGGCTTTCACTATATATCATCCAAACCCGCAAAGGCACATCTAGAGGATAAGAGCTTTAAATTGACACCCAATATGCCTATAAAAATAAATATTTAGGGGTCGATTTGTTGCACACAAAATCAAACAAATTCTTTTAATAATATAGATTGATAATAGCATAATACTTTATTACATCAAAATTAAAAATTCTGCATTTTTGACATAACTATAGTATATGTTTCCCAGAAATTAACGCTGGCAAAAAAATCCTGTATTGCAATCACTGCAGTTCACGTAATTTGCAATGCCGCACGTAAATATTGTGGCTACCAACAAAACACTCAAAATATCAAGGTTACCTTGTTAGAAAATCCATTTTATTATATATAGGTTTACATAGGATTTTAGTTTATAGACTGTGATATTCATATCTATGAATTATTGGCAGGATTCACTGAATGTTCTATATTTAAAAATCAAATAAATATTGTCAATTGACTTTGACATGCAGTAACTTGTTTTTTTTATTTTTTTTTTTTATTTTAAATTTTGTATATATTGTGGAAATAAAACTGATTTGATTTGACTTATACGATTTAAACAGGTTGAACAAAACCGAGTTGTTCTGTGAACCTCGATATAGCCATATTTTCAACTCACAACCAACCTCAAAAGTCCTCAATGTAACAAATCTAATAAAATCCTCCATGCAACCAATTTTTTCTTTGGTCCCTTGGGATTCATTATACCTATCAAGATTACCTAGGTGGTGTCTCCATCTAATAAATGATAATGAAAATGATAAAAATGATTGTGATATTGTCTATTCTTACTTGGGCCGGGGTGCAGGAGCTATACAGGTGAAACTGACGTCTTTCTCCTCAACTTGACAAACAGGTCGGCGAGTAGGAGTGGAGGGGTCATACAGTCGCACCTGACAATCAAAACAATGTCACTCATTGTGTTAAACATAATCGTAAAATTTAATATAGACATAGCATAGCTGAAGATCGAAACCAACACACAATAAATAAAGTTGAAGGGATTTAACCAAATTATAAATAAAAATACCTGGTTGTAAATTTTGAAATAAAAAGACACAAATCCATCTGGGCTAGATCATTATGACCGTTTGGCAGTACTTACCTATAGTCCTACAGCAAAAATTAGTTCAATTTCATTTTTAGGGTTTTTGTTGTGGATAGCAGGCTTACCTGAATGGGAAAGAGTACAAAATAGCACAAAAGTACAAAACTTTACATTATGGGGTATATAAAAATATTTGTTGTGCAAAAAGTATTCAGATTTTTTGTGTATAAGTTTTATGTTTCTTAATCCATATTGAACTCTTTTCCATCCAGGTAGGCTTTAATGGAAAATTTCCTTTTGCAAAAAAGGCTTACTAGAAAAAAAAGAAGATACAAACAAATACTGTACTTCTCAGATAGAAAATATTAATGACTTACATGACCGTATCTAGTGGCTACAGCAACTTGCTTGGATTCTGGCACGAACGCTAAATCCATGACCCACACTGGCACTCGAAGTTCCAACCAGTCGTGACGCACCTTCAAAATAACAAGTATCATGAACTTTGTATATCTTATATAGGCCTACCTATCAAAAATTTTGTTTTTCTTTTCCGAGTTCGTTTGGCTTTTCTACCCGGCCGATTTTCATGATTGAGGTCTCAAATTGAAGGTATGCATGCTCAGATTCCACAACAAGCATTGGAATATATTTATCTACAGTCCCATTCGGCTTATCCGTAAACAAAATTTGTTCCTCATGTATTTCTTATGTGAGTTAAATTAAGCATCGTCATATACGGTATTTGTCTACTATATTACTCGACCAAAAATATAAATTAGATTTATTTTCAAATTCTTACTTCAATTTAAGATATATTTCACCAGTTATAATTATATAATCCTATTTATTTTGGTCTAAGAACCTTCAGTTAAATATCAGCTTTCATTTAAGCTATTATTTATTCAAATCGGACGAGTTTCAAGGAAACGCAAGGTGAACAATTAACATATAAATTATTTTGAATAAGGTTTTTCTATGATTGAAAATCAATTGCTCCAGTATTGTTTATGTTTTTTTAATATGTTTTAGACTCAAAATAATCAGTAAATTTGAGCTATTTATTGTTTGAATCAGTTAAGTTTAAGATACTGTATTACTCAATCAAAAAACATAAATTTGATTATTTCTCGGATATGATATTTTTTTTAACGCTGCGGAGCAGCATGGGTCCTCTAGTTATTATATGATAAAATAAGTAGGTTCAGTTAATAACTTTTGAAATAGATTTTAATGATACCGTAGTTGTAATACACATACCTAATAGGGTTTTTTATGAGAGGGTTGTTAGTGAAGTTTCCACGTTATGTGAGGTCCATGTTTTGTAATGAAAATGTATTTATTTATTCAAGCAGAGTTACAGCCAATTGCTCTTACTTACGCCTAAACCATAAAATTATGCCTATAGGTATACTTACGTTTTTTGCTGTAAAAGTGTTTTTGCCAGTTTCAACATCCCAGAGCTTGAGGTCATTCTCTTTACCGCCTGTGGCAAAAACATTGTCTTCATTGGGACTATGTCTCATACGACTGATGGGCCCTCCAGTTTCCACAAGTGAGTCTGTTTCACCCCAAACCTTCACTATTCCTGACTCGACTGCAGTTACCAGCGAACTAGAAAAAAATCTAAATTTCAAACATGTTCTATTTATAACTGCTGTAGGCTATTTATTTCACTGGATGTATACAACGAGTACAAAATGAGACAAAGCTATTCATATACCTAGCCATACGATTAAAGAAAAATTGTAAAATGTATAATATTATGCAGGAATTTGTAATTAAAATCAAATTCTGATGATTACTGACCAACCGTAAATATTGCTAAGATTGGTTGGACAAATTGATTTCAACAACTAGGCTAGGAATTAATAGGTATGTGTTAAGTAGGTTCTACAGCCTATATTAAAAATCTACAAAATACATCAATTAAAGATCTAGGAAGTTAAGTGTTATTCCCATGGCAATACAAAGCATTCAAGTGTTTTTTAATTGTCAACCCATTTGTTACTTATTTACAATATCACTGAAACATAAAAAATAAAGAAAAATAAATTTCACTATTTTTTATAATGTTTTATAGTATTTTATAGCTGGAAATGATAATAAAATTTATATGCAGTGCTCAATTTGAGGGGGAGCACGGCGGAACGGTGTACCGGCACCTCTCTTTTGGAAAGATAAAAATATTGGCATAAATAGGTAAAAATCACATTAAATAGGTTACAGTTCCGGCACCTAATTTTTTACAAATCGAGCACTGTTTATATGTATAGCCTATATATAATTATGTATTTAGGATATGTTTACACTGTTTTATATATTTCTAAAAAAATAGGTGCATATACCTGCCTGAAAAAAATATTAGACTATTTTTTATGTTGTTTTAATAGTATTTTATAGCTGAAAATAATATAAAATATGTATGTAAAAATCTAATTTTCTAATTTCAAGGCTGACGTACCAGTACGTCAGCCGTGATACTGTACATCACGGACTTGACCTACTGGTAAGTCATCCGATCCAAAAGTTATTAATGAAAGTTTGAAAAATACCCCCGCCGCAGCAAACCTGCCGACTAAGCGAATTTCCATTTGTCTTAATTGATTTTTAATTAAATATATTTTAATAACATTAGGTTTAACGAGTACCTAGGTTTGCTGATACAAGGAAACTAATAAAGTGTGTTTTTTTTGTAAAATATTGATAGCTTAGTACAAAATAAATAAATTTGATCAAAATACAAAATATATCCATAAACAAGCAAACTACAACATTTGACAATAGCCTATTCTCCTTAAGAATAACATGGGAATTTTAAATTTACAATTTTTTTAATTTTCTCCGTTACCAATAATACTTTTATATACTAAATTATTTGTTTTTTTAAGCTCTTTAAAAAGGTCTAAAGAGAAATTGGGAAATTTTGTGTTTTGAGGGTCAAAAGTGAGAAAAACCAATTTTTACCCCATAAAACCCTCCGTAAAGCCCCGTTCCCATGGTCCCATCATGCTGGTTCGCGAACTCATTCAAGTTTATCCCGCTTTACCCCTTTAAACCAAATTTCATCAAAATTGGACAAAAATTACTCAAGTTATCGCGTTCACGGACGTATATATATATATATATAAGTCTATATCTAATATATAAAATTCTCGTGTCACAGTGTTTGTCTGCAAACTCCTCCGGAACGACTTCACCGATCGTTATGAAATTTGGTGTGTAAATTCTGTAGGTATGCGAATCGGACGTAAACTATTTCCCGTTTCGAAATTCTTAAAAGGGCTCCGCCCCAGTGGCTCTGGAGTTTCCCATGTTAACCTTATGAGAAATGGAATTAATGAATCTTAACAGCTGTTTCAATTAAACAAGTTGGTTCTGTTCTATGATGTTCAATAGCATTAAAGGTACAAGGATTACCAACAGGGTGCAGCACTATTATTTCTTTTACATTTATGACAACAGCTAATTTGCAACCAAAAAGTGAGTGAGCGTAGCGGACGAACTTCAACCTGGAGGCGAGTGAGCGTAGCGAACGAGCTAACCTGAAGGCAAGTGACCACAGCGAACGAGCTCCAGCCTTAAGGTGAGTGAGCGTAGCGAACGAACTTCAACCTGGAGGCGAGTGAGCGTAGCGAACGAGCTAACCTGAAGGCAAGTGAGCGCAGCGAACGAGCTCCAACCTAAAGGTGAGTGAGCGTAGCGAACGAGCTCCAACCCAAAGGGGAGTGAGCGTAGCGAACGAACTTCAACCAGGACGTGATTGAGCGATGCGAACGAGATCATCTTGAAAATTAAACGTAACGGTACTTTCTTTCCATCGGTCTGTCTTAGGGGAAACCTATAACTTAGGCGATACGAAATTCGCCGGGTCAGCTAGTATATATATATATATATATATACATATATAAAAATTTGAACGAATGGTGTTTTTGGCCTCCGGGGACATCAAAATGAAAAAGTAAATCGGTCCCGGGTCTAGGTCTTACCGTGCCACCTACGGTAATAGCTACTTCCCTATAGGGAAATTCGCTAAAATCAGCTTACCTGTTTACCTTGAAGATCCCTCGAATTGGTCCCTCTCCAATGGTTTTGTGTTCATTCAGTATGAAGGCATTTGATGTTAAATCAAATATTTTGACCAACTGGTTGCTATACCCTATGAGTATTTCATTTTCAAGTTTATCAGCCCAGTTTAAAAAGGTTACTTCATTTCTTTGTGTGATCTCTTTAAGCTTTTGAAGATTTTTTACGTTATGAACACCTTTGTTATGAGATGCTTTGAGGCCTGCAATCACAACACATTTAGTTACAGTCTATTTCTACTCTACCTGCTGGACCTGTGCTTTGTAAAGGAAGCACAGGACAAATATTTGATAACATTTTTTTTTTTCTAGCCTATAAAAAGAATCCCTAAATCAGTGATTTTTCCGTGACCTGCTGGCAAAGTCCCGTTAAGTTTATGTTATTAAAACAGACAAATAATTAGATTGACACTTAGGAGAGTGTGAATTTTCACTCAAAGATTAATTTCAAATACTATTGAAAGATGAATTGTATGTTGTCCCATATGTATGGGAGCCGGCTAGAATGGACCTACTGGGTAAATTAATAGATGATGTATAGAACTTCTAGGAACTATAGGGTATGAACTACGGTATGAAGTATAACTTAGTTACGGTAGCCTACCTTACAAGGCAGGTCTTAGATTTAAGCTAAAAAAACTAGTATGACTGAGACGGAATCTTGATGGAGACTTTAACTTATTCTATGAAGAACCCTTGTTTTTAAGAGGGTCAATCCATTTCATAACTTTGAAAACTTACAGTAGGCCTATGCCTATGGTCACTCAGAACTTTTTTTTTTAGCGAATAGGGAATTAGCTATTATACCGTAGGTCTCATGGTAAGAACTGGACCCGGGACCGATTTACTTATTTTGTTTTGAGGTCCCCAGAGTCCAAAACCGCCATCCCTTTAAATTCATATAACTTATGTATAACGTAAGTTATGTGTCCGTTTAACTCGAGCAAAAATTATCCGATTTTGATGAAATTTGGTATAAACCTGTAAACCTACATTAATTCGAATGAGTTCGCGAACCAGCATGATCTAACCAAGGGAACGGGGGTTTATTTTTAACTTTTAATGTTTTGGGTAACCTAATGTTTCTGTATGCTATAGCCTATCCAAATAAATATCATAAAATGTATTGACTGCCCAACTATAAACCGGCGGTTCCAAGGGGAAGAGGCTACAGGGCTAAAGCCCCCCCCCCCCCTGGACCCTGGAAAATAAATTTAAACATATATTTCGTCCTTAAAACACGCAATGTCATAAAACAGACATCAATGTAGTATTTATTAAACTAAATAAGTGATGGCAGGAGTAGTATTAAGTTCCACATAGTCAACTTTGTGGGGCAATAGCACGACGAATAAAACAATATTCCGCTATGGAAAGTTGTATGCATCATCCAATTTTTACACTAGTTAGCTGTTGACATGCTAGGGCAAAGGCGAGCACCGAGCGCGCCAGCAACGGCCACTGAAACTAGCCGAGTCTCAATGATCAAAGGCAAAACAACTAATTGCCAATAACATCTATAACTAACTTACAAGTGTTTGTGAACATATTTGGCATATTTACAACTATTAAGTGTAGAGCAATCATAACTAACTCAAATAAAATCAACTTAGAATAATCCTAACCTAAGTTACGGTATTTGTATACTTTAAAAGGGCTTCTAACGAATTTTTAAAAAACTGTTTTTTTTTCTCATTATTTGGCCTATTTTGAACACGTTTTACATTTGGCACTTTTGGGGCAACGCCTATTTCACCCTGAAAAAGGCTGATTTTATCGTGTTTAAAAATCGCAAAAAGTGCTAAAAATTGTGTTTTTTTTATTAATTTTTTTTCAAGACAGACAATTAATGTGCTTTTACCTTTCTAACTTATCACTTAGGACCTACCATAAAACTTAATATAATCCAACCTAACTTTAACTTTAGGGAGGGGTATGGGGGTTTAGTGAGTGGGAGAAACTTTCGCGCCGTTCCGGCCAAACCTTGCATGCGGGGTTGGTTCGGCAGATTAGCCACACCTAAACCCCAACTCTCACTTGTTAGCTGCGGAGAGCTACCTTCTGCCCCTGGGTGTTGGTCCACCTACAGAACCAAGTGAGGGGGGCCCTAGACTAAGGTGTAATTCGATCCGTGCCGAGAGTCTTGTGGCACTGGGGGCCGAATATTCAGTGTCTTAACGGAGCCTTCTGGGAACCAGGGGGAACCCAGTCGTATGCACCCCTTACCTCTCTAATCGGGTCACTGGGGAGGTGGACCTTAGATAGGCCTACTCAGTATTCGTGGAACGCAGACGACCTGACCCCAATGGAGGAGGAAGGTCTACTGAAATCTGACGATGACAACAAGCTCACAGAAACCGGAAAGGAACGGAAAAAAAACTACTTCACAGGGTAATAATAATAATAGGTTAGGCTAAATACCTTGTTTACGTCCTCAATCCAAGTCTGTCTTTTTATAATGACTATAGTTTCGGGGCCCTCAGCCCCATTGTCAAATTTTCTGTCTTGTTAAATTACAGTTAATAGCATTGGTTATCGTTGAAGTTCACATTATATACATACACTGACACAAGTAATATTGAGAATTTATACTTTTGGCCGGTATAAACAAAAGTGATTATAGCCTATCATTGTAAGCGGACCGGTACACTGACGACTGTACATGTACGGTACTGACTGTACGGTACACTCAGTCAGTCAGTGTACCGGTCCACAAACGATATAGGCCTAATAACTTTAACTTAAGTTATATACCTATCTTACCCTACAGACGGGAAAGACAACTTTACTGCATTGGCGGGTACAACCTAACAGCAACCAAAAAGAACTGGCTGGATTTGATCGCTATATTTGTATTTTGATATAAATAGGTACTCCGCTAAGTATCCTTCAAAATGTCCTTTTTTATGCCAAACCGTGGGGTGGAATGGCGGACTTCCTTCCACTGTCTTTCTATGGTGTTCGTGTGGGCACCGGTATTTGGATCCACAAAGTTCACTGAATGATTTACCGTAATGTCCCAAATAATAGTAAAAACACATAGCCTAAAGAGTAAAATAAAACATTTTTAGCACTTTTCTTCATTTTTAGGGTGAAATAGGCGTTTGCCCCAAAAGTTTCAAAAGTAGTGTTTAAAATAGGCCTAATGAGAAAAACATTTTTTTCAAAATTCGTTAGAAGCTCCTAAAGTAAACAAATAGGCTACCTGCTAAATGCCAAGTTGAAATACTGTAACTTACCTTTAAAAACACCAGAAACTCCACCAATAAACACGTTGTGATAATCTTCCATGATTTAAGTTCAAAAGATAGGCTACCTACTATGGCATCACAAACAATTGGAATCTTAGTCAAAAGTGAAATAATCAAGCAAAAGCTAACCTAGTTATAGTTCTAATACTGCATACTTTTACACATAACCTAACAAACAAGTCACCTAACCTAAACCTAATGACCTAACCAAAAACCAAAACAATCTTTGGAATTAGTGTAACATGTGAGAAGAGAGGTGGAAGTGGAAGTGATTGTATGAGAGAGAACGTAAACTTGGAGTGAGCTAGAAATACAAATGTACTGGACTGGAACTGGAGTTAAAGTTAAAGGCGGCCGTAATGTTTAATCCTCCTAGGGCGGCCGTGAGTTAGCACAGGCATGACAACTTTGTTACTTTCTCCTCCCCCTATACCATAGTATATGGAGAAAGTATTGTTTTCGTAAAAATTTTCGAGTTTGAGTGGATACATTCGTTTTGGGTCCCCCTGGACCCAAAAAAGTGGTTTCCGAAGTGATGTCTGTGTGTGTGTCTGGATGTGTACAGAGCTATAGGGACTACACCTGTGGTCCGATTTCGATGAAATTTGGTACGGAAAAATCAGATTTTCAGAAAAATAGCCCGAACGATTTTGATAAAAATTTAGTATGTAGTCCTTTAAATTCTGAACAAAATTGTACAAATCCCATTTCCGTATATTTACTCTCACCGCTTACACATGATAAAGGTTGTTGACAAACTTATGGGAGAAAGTATGTGTCAGAATGCTGATACCGTTTGTTTTTTACTAATTTACAAACTGTTGAACAATTAATAAGCAAATGTAATAACAATAGGCATGACAACTCTACGGAAATAGTTATTTGTGTAACTAGTGGTGAAAGTGGCACCATAGACTAACCAACACAAGTAGACTTCTCATCCCATTGTAAATTTTGAAGCACGTTTTTCGTGTCTAGTTCATGTACGGTGACACTGGGCGCTAGTGTCAACGAAATTTTGTTTCTATTATTTTAGGGTTAATTTCTTGATTTGTGCTTTACTGTTTTGGTTATAAAACTAAAGGACAAGTTATTGTTTATGATTAGATCGTATTATTTGGTTAAACGAGGTTTTAAATGGCTGTAATAACGGGAAACAAATTGTAAACAAAACACGACCTCTACAGAAAACCGGACAAAACTAACAATAAAATTGGCTTCAGCTGTTCCATAAGGATGGGAAATCTACTAAGGGAGTATGTTTTATCTATGGTGGCACTTTTGCTGCACACGAGAGCAATGTTTACGCACGAGCCGCAGGCGAGTGTGGAATGATCTCGAGTGCAGCAAAGGCCTTTTTCACTCGTGTTACACATTATATTTTTCCTACAGTCACTATAAAGCATATAAATAATTAGTCTTTCAAACACTATGCAACACGTTTTTAGGTTCAGCTGGCAACACAAATTGGTGCCCTAGAGAAAGTAGTACCCGCGGTCTATATCACTCCGCTATTTTTCCTCGGCAAGAATAAATGTGCTCCGCGTTTTGAGAATATAGTTCCGTATGTTTTTGTAATTTGAAGTGGTTTCCGCGCTTTAAAAAATGCTTAAAAGGTATTTTCTTGTTTATTAAGATTGTAGGAAGGTTTTAAAAACGTTTAAAAGAAAAGTCCAGAAAGTTCAGAAATACCGAAACGATAAACACGAAATGACAGGTTAAATCGTAGTTATAATAGTCAATCAGCTGTTCATAGTACAGAGTGAGGCAGTGGAACGGCACGATTTAAAAAAATCATGAATAATTTATTTAGAAGAAAAAGATAGTTGTTATAACATAAATCCTAAGTACATGAGTGGAAATTAATGTTTCACCTTAAAAATAAAAATATTGTTTAATACAGTGTCAGTAAAATGGCGTATTAGGTTTTGCACACATTTTTGAATTATGAATTGAAATGACCCCATGACGGTTTTTAGCGTTTCCATAAAGTCTGCAATCGTTTTATAGCGCTTTATTGTGCTAGCAGTGGCTCCAAAGTTATTCACCCAAAGGAGGGTAGCTTTCCTTGATGGCACGGGAGCCCGCTGCGATAGACTGAACTTACAACAAAAAGCGCGCTGAGCACAAACCATTATACACGTTTTTATAAATATGCCTTTCCAGCAAACGTGTGTTGTGCACTCGTCCAACGCTTCATGGCTACTGAAATTTCCACTTTTCTAGACGGCTGTGGCCATTTCCCCCGTACTCTGATAGCCCCCAATTCCTTGTCAGCTGGTATAGGAATCATGCCGTTTCACTGCCTCACCCTGTATAATTACCTTTAAGTGTTGCCAACCTATTTCCAAGCGTACACGGATTACGTGCATAATGGAACCACGCTGTTTTGTGTTGTTTCGTTGGAATCCTGATGTGCGGCAAAGTATAAACCGTACGGCAAAGTATAAATATGCAGCAATTAGCAGCTTTCTGTACAATAAACAGTACAAGGAAGCCAACTTTGTCGGGTGACTGTAGGAAAAAAAATAAGACGTTAAACATGTTTTTTTTATTATACATACTATTCTTTTAATAGAAATGGCGACTGACTAAATAAAGGTACCGTACTGTTGTAGGTAGGTTTGTAGGTATTTTAAGCCAAATATGAATGGAGATGAGTGTATGATGAATGGCGCGATCTGATCTTGTAGTCTAGTTAGGTACTGACTAAGGGAAGGAGTATTGGTTTATACGCGTATACTGGTAAATATACAAAAAAGATGGTAAGTGGTGATCAATTTCAATTGGACACTCCAATCATCATCAGACCCAAAGGGCGAATGACAAGAATCTTGAATGGCGTCCCTACTTTTTTTTGTTGTGTTTTTTATTAATACAGCATCTTTGGCGGAAAAACACACAATTCTGTCATGACCATAACGAAAGTAAAAATGAATATTAAAATAGTTAATGGTATTTTCATAGATATGTTTTGCTGTAAATAGATTTAGTTTTAGGGGCATTTTGCAATAAACAGCTCACTTAAGCTTTTGGTATATTTAGTATTTGTACAAACAATCTAAAAACTAAAAAAAAAATTAAAAATCACCTAAGTTATAGCTCCGAACAAACCATCCCGATATAAGGAAAACCTTAATGTTTTTAAAGAGGCGTCCTTCTTTGTGTATAAAACATTGGAATATGATGATGTATCAATTTTGGAATTTTTTATGATCCAAATCATCAACGTTGTTATCAGGGACAAGTGTTACAGTCTGGAATTGGTGATTAACGAGAATTACTATATTATTGTTTATTTAGGTTTTCCTTCCACTACTATTATTGTTATAATATTCCACAAGCCTTGATAAACCATAATTATTTTCTAAAATGTGATAGTTTTACACACATATTTCCTATACACTATAAGCTTTAACTTATATGAGGCAATAACGATACCTGTCTATGTAAAAATCTATTTTTTACATCCTTCAATTAATTGTACTGTTATAAGACAAATTTGTGTTGTAATTAAACTAAACTGTGCAATTTACAATTATATTAACATTTATTTTCACGACCATAACACAGTACAATTGATAAAGCTATTTTGGTTGTGAAAAAACCTGTGATGGTCGTGATGCCCTGGTCGTGAAATCACGTATTATTTGGCTCTGTTCTGGTGGCAGCCTTACACCTCATGTTTGAGGAGGCAAATGGATTTCTAGGTTAACGTAGCAATTAAAATATCATATCAACAAACATTAACACCATGTCTACTTTGTTACATGAGTACGTACGGTCGTGGACACACCAAAATTACAAAAAGCACAAAGTTACCCATATTAATCTTGTGCTTCATTTTTAACTGCAAAACCACCGCACAACAAAACTAACACACATCCCGAACCAGTCTCTAAAACCAAATGACGGTTCGCTGCCAGGATTGCTACTGTTGTGTTCCAAAGTTGCAAATTTTGCCATTATATGGTTGGGACATCAAATCGAGGGACAGACTTATTTTGTCATGGTAGTCAGTTTGCAATGAAAACAGAATTATTATATGCTCCTTTTTTGTAAGTTTAATAACAACTTTTGATGACATAAAAATATGGCTTTATAAATTTCGGCATGGTAATTAATTAGTCTAAAAACAGCGTGAAAGTTGAAAAATGTACCCTAGGGACACGTGATGATCGTGAATTTCGAGACTTTAAAAATACGAAGAAAATACCTAGAACCTACTTAAAACCGAATAAATGTTTGTAACATGTTGCCCCCATCCCAAAAAATATTAAAACACATATTAATACAGTAGAGTCCAGTTAGTCCGAAATAGTTGGGACCGGACCCATTTCGGATTACCAAATATTTTGGATTAAACTTTTATTTTTTTCAAAATTTTTTTTAAAATATTTGAAGTTTATTTTTATTTTAGGACGCTAGGCACGAGCCCGGGATTGTTTTTCACATTACTTTAGGCTAGACCTGGGGGCTGCAGCATTATCACTTAAATAAAATCCATTTGTGATTTGGCGGGATTGGAACCCAGGACGAAAATGAAAAATGTTAATAAAAAAAATGGCGAAATATTTACTAAAATACTCTATAAAACAAGTTTATCTCGCTACAGAATACTTTGAAGAGGTACAGTTAACTGTGTTAAAAGTTTAATAAAAAAAATTTTTTTAATGTTTTTTGGTTTTGGATTAAGCGGACCTTTGGATTATCGGGACTCCACATACAGTATCTACGAAGTAAAAGGCCAGTGACATTAAAACGTACGTTTCAAAATTTTCACTCAACATCTACTGAGGTAAATATTTGTTTTGCTTGTTAAGGCCTAGAGTAGTGAACAAATAATTTCCCAGCATTTTATTTTATGCTAGATATCAACTAGGATTCCTGTCTAATCGTAACACTTGGCTTCATGTAAATTTGTTAACACTTAATATATTTTGAAATGCTGGGTTCATTAGATGTGCAACACAGAGAAAAGATACAGAGGAAACAATCAATGGTACACTTAAGTGGTGTCTAGAGCTAGTGCTGTTGTCTAGGGCAATGACCCCCCTCGCTCTCATTTACTACAACGCTTGAGGTTAAGGAAGCGGAAGACCCTGTGCCATAGGAATCTCCTCACAATGCTCACCGTTTAGGCTCCTCCTTGCTCGTCACAGTATATTCCTGCCCCTACATACCAGAGCTGAAAGCACGTACGGTTGACTCGTCTGAAGCTTAATTCTCAGTGTGTGCAAAAATTACACAAATTTAAATATTATTTGATTTAATTAATCTCTCTCACTGAGAGTAAGGTTTTGCAGTTGATAAGCAAAAAAGTTTTTGTTTGAAAAAATATTAATGAGATCACACAGGTAAGGATAATCTAACACATACACAATAAAACACTTTTTATTTTTAAGGATTATTTCTAAATATTTACAGTATAATATTCTTAAATCAGTTCTTTTCAACATCACACCTCATTTCTTTGTATACTGAATTTCATTAACATGGAATGAAACATATTAATGTTCATGGCTGGTTTTCATAGTTACCGATTATGGCTGCATTTTTGGCACCAACTACAAGAGGACTGAAAAAATGAGTGAAAAACAAAAAAAGATAAACCAAATTCGGCAAAGGAAAACTCCAAAAATGACTCGCATGGCACAACATTCAGTTATAAAACTAAGGCAAACAATTTTTTTTTTATTGAATCAACTGTGCGAAATAAAAAAAATGAATAAGTATTGATAGTATTAATTACAAAATTAGTAAAAATTAACTGATTATGGACACTGAATGACTTGTCAACAAAGCCATGTTGAGTCCTGTCAATTAATACAAACCCTTTAAGAAGCGCAATTAATGCCTTTGTTAAATTAATTCTGGGAATATTTGAATTTTAGTTAGTTCCCACGGCTGCCGCTAGGTAGACTATCACGAGCGTGTGGCCAAGTCAGCTGACTGGAGACAAAGAATCATTTTAGAAAGAGAGATAGATTGAGTAGCGTGTCCGACGCCCGATTGATCCTAGAACGGCTACGCGAAGCTCATTTTGGTGGCAAAATTCCAGTCTATTCTCCATAAGCATTTAGCTTCTTAAAGGGACTTGTTTTCATTGGTCCTGTAGAGATTAAATTCCCAGCCTGAGAGAGGACAAAGGTCTTTTACAGGCAGCAGAACTAAAATAAAACAATCTCATCGTGAAAAATAACTCGTCCCCTAGTTATATAACCTAAACAGTAAAGCACAAATAAAGAAATTAATACTAAAATAATAGAAACAAAATTTTGTCAATACTAGCGATCAGTGTCACTCAGTGGCGTAGCCAGGTTTGGAGCAGGGATGGCCTAAGCCAACCCCAGTAGGTAGGCGGGAGGTCCTCCCCCGGATAACATTTTGAAAAATAATAACTGTGTCACAGTCGTGACAGAATAACGAGAATAAATAATATTTTGTTTGTAAAAGTGAAGGTATCAAATATTGTTTTTATTTTCAATGGTCAAAATTTTTGGCTTCGAGAGAGGAGTGGGATGAGTAGTCAACTGTTTCTTTGTTACAATTCGAAGAATAGACGTGTGTTTGAAGATGTAAGGGGTCAGAGGTTATAAGTATAGGTGCGTAAACTGATTCAGTCTCATTTCGTCAATGTCCAGTCTTGTACCGGGAGCAGATGAATTACATATAAACCTCGTTTTAGAGCTAAGGATTTATTTCTAGCATTATTCCAGGAAGAGATATCTAAAATCATATGAAAGAAAAAGATTGATTTCAGTTTTATTAGCAAATTTTTATTTGAAGTTGTACAAATTAAATCAACAGGTGAGGACCACATGGTGGCAATCATGAAATATTAGGGTATTTAGTACATTGTTCATTTTAAAAATATGTTACAGAAGAAGGAAAGTGATGAAAGTCTGAAGTTTAATCTTCTGTATTAATGTTAAAATGCATATTTACTTGTTTGAATGTATTAATAATGTGTAATTTCAATGTGAAAGAGATTTGATTTAACAAACTTGCTGTGTACTTAAATGTCTATTAAGCATATTTGGCTGTAATAAAACGTAACTAAATAGTTTAACAGAAATAATTTGTTTGACATAAAGGGTATTTACGGTCAGTGAGTTACCATGTGGAAAGATTTAATTTAATTGAAAGGAAACTTAAGATATCTGAATTTTTTAAGTATTGGTTAAATAAACTAATGTGTCTAGGTAAAGTGAGAAAGTGGGGCTAAGTAACGTCATTGATAGGTGTACAACTTCAAAATTCGGATAATAGGGTACACATTAGCTCTAGGACTAAGTATTTTTCATTTTTAAGGAAAGGGAATGTTAATTTTCTTGATTTAATGATTGTGTTGGATTTAGAATTGTAAATAAATCTTTCTGGGATAATTATGTCGGCTTTCTTTATTTCATCAACCTCTTTTCAACACAACACTTTTCTTGATATTTTAAGTTAAGTACATAGGGTGCTAGTAGCTGGACTATATTCGACGAATCGAATCCTATGGTTATTAGCACCTTGTGTCAACTGTAAAGTAGCGTTTTTATGCAATCTAGACATAATAATTTTCAAAACATAAATAGATATTTTAATTGGCTTTATTATATTTAATCTATTTAATTAGGGTGTTTGAAAATAAAAATATGAATTTAAATTAAGTTCATTGGACGGAACTTATCTTTACTTAGAAATCTCCTCAAAACAGCTTTACCAAGTGCACGTAAACAGCGGGAACTGAGCAAAGGACCCGAATTTACAAATGGCGGGTAGATGTCGGTGACGTTCAAGCACTTAATTAGAAGATAATGCCCGTTTAGGCATTATCAAAGGTATAATTGAACAGTACAAACATAAATCCTTTCCTACATTTACAGGATTTTTGAATCCTGTAAATGTAGGAAAGGATTTATGTTTGTACTGTTCAATTCCAGTTGAGTTAAAGCTGCTAGGACCGTCGAAACCCGATTTAGTTATTGTTATTACACAATGTCAAAACATTGTGTAATAACAATAACTAAATCGGGTTTCGGCGGGCCTAGCAGCTTTAACTCAACTCTCCGTTCAAAACTTACCACATCACCACCCGCATACTTTGTAGAAATATTTTTAACGGAATTCATAGTTCATTATTAGCACAAAAAAAAATTCTAGCCTGGCGCCGCCCCCGCCCCCTAGTGCTTGCCACCCTGAAGCAACTGTTCCACTGTTGCTATGCTACTGGTGTCAACAGACATAAACTAGACAAGAAAAACGAGCTTCAAAATTTACAATGGGATGAGAAGTCTTCTTGTGATGGTTAGTCTCTGACACTTACAACTACATTTATTGATTCCAAATTATTATCATTAAGTATAAATTATTGTTTTTATAAGTTAGGTTGCCTTTCTCCGGCCATGGACTTGGTCCCATGGTAGTGAGGGTTTCTACTGTTTACTCTTTGATGGCTTTATCAAAGGTGTGATGCGACAACAGTTACATGTCTTACAACATTCTGGTTCTTCTCTTCTGAGGGGAAGGTGCAGGGCTCGCAGGCTTTTGTGGTTCCATCGAATTACGAGTGGGTCTGCCCTTGACTGCTGGCATTTTTGTTTTCTTAGGAGGTTCGTCTGTTAACGATTCAGTGGACTTTGACATAGACTCTTTTGTTCGCTTTGTTCCTGTAAATGAAAAATCAATTTAATGTTTATTGAATAACTGAAAACCCCTAATACATTAGTTATTTTATAACTTTGGAACATTAAGAAGTTTTACAACTCTAACTGAAATTTGGTTTGAAGGTGTAAGGTGGGATAAATTTGAATGAGTTTGTGAACCAACATGATCAGACCATGGGAACGGGGTTTTACAGGGGATTTTATGGGGTTATAGTTGGTTTTTCTCATTTGTGACCTAAAAACAAACACATTCCCAATTTCTCTCTAGACCTTTTTAGGTTTTACAGGGGATTTTGTGGGGTAAAAATTGGGTTTTCTCATTGTTGACCCTCAAATTAAACACATTCCCAATTTTTCTCTAGACCCTTTTAAAGAGTTTAAAAAACAAACAATTCAGCATGTTAAAGTTTGTTCGCTCCACTGTTCATTCAATCCAACGGGTACAGTCAGTTCTAGAAGTAGACTAACCAGTAGAAAATATTAATTTTGAATTTTACTGTACATTGGATCGAATGCACATTGGAGTGAACGATCAGTATAATTTAAATATTTAATAATCTTGAAATGTGCGTTCACTCCAAGATCGTTCGCTCCAACAGTGATGGGTGTTGCGTTCCCCAATCTGCAGGCTTGCGGCGCTTGTATATTGCCGTGATAGTTTAGTATAGATCTTTTTGACCACTTGTTGGCCTTTTAACTTTTATGTCTTTACAAAAATAATACTTTGATAAAGATATTTAAGTCCCTACTGGTATAAAACCTAATTAGACATACCGTAGGCCTACTATATTTTATGCATAATTAACATTAACTGGTGATAACTTAAGACGTACTCTATGGGCATATTAGAAATTCTCACTGACCTTACATAAAAAAAAAAAATCCCTTGGGTTTGCCCCAGTAGGTGTTAAAGTTCCCATGTTATCCTTATGAAGAACATATTTGTTTACAATATAATAAACTGAATAATTTAATCGCTATAAATATTTTAGTAGAAATTATTTAAGGTAAACGTGTGCTACAAACATTTACTGACTTGGTTGAAGTGAAATATTTACCAGGCTATTAGAATTTGGGTTGGCGTAAATATTAAAATGGAAAAAGCGAGAAAGCCTGGTCAATTTGATATACTAAAAAGTAAACTGAATTAACACTGTGCTGCATTTCTTGAGCAATCGTTGAAAGAGCCGATTTGCAACCTATGAAAAAATGAGAAAGTCATAGAACACCACCAAGTAGAATAAATGGAAAATAGTGGTTTGTAGGGACATAAGTCCCTGAAAAGCTCAAATGTAAAACAAATTATTGTAATATTTAAACAAACTCAGAATCAAATTATCTATGTGTCAGAATAGATATCCCAATAAAACATATCTTTTGTGTAAAAACAGTTTGATGTTTGTCTTTTTAATAATTTAAATTACTCCAGAGGTTTAACTCTGCTAAAGGCACTAAACATGTTTGTGAATACTAAAGTACAACAATAACCTTTAAATTAGAAGAAAAACTTCATAGTTTATTCAGAATGCTAAGTTCAATTCTTTTGATTTGAGCCAGCTCCCATGATTCTACTACTTACCATGTGACACTTAAAAATACACAAATTTGAAAGATCTCACAGAAAAATAATTATTTATTTCAACTTTCCAATACGTAACTAAAATGTCTTAGTTCAATTCTTTTGATTTGAGCCAGCTCCCATGATTCTACTACTTACCATACACTTAAAAATACACAAATTAGAAAGATCTCACAGAAAAATAATTATTTATTTAAACTTTCCAATACGTAACTAAAATGTCTTAGTTATTATAGGTAACGTTATTCCTGGTTTTATATAGTATACAGTAACTTACATTTTAGAAGTGACTGGCAAATGAGTAATCCAAATGTAATATTGCAACTACACACAACTATTAATTTAAATGACAATCTTTTGATTATGATAATTAATAACAATATAACTGTAGGTTGCTTTACGATTTGATGAACAGTGCAGGGTAAGCTATACCAGCTGATGTGTTATTAATGAAGATAGGGCGAGAAATTGCTGCTTGAAACATCGCAAATAGTTTTATTGTTTGATATAGTTGCGTTATTGATTTTAACTATCTCCCCTTACTTAATCCATTTACTTTGTTTCCATAATGTGAGGTTCAAATGCACTAACGTAAAAATATGGAAGTAACAAAAATGCTTTGACACATAAGAAACATTTCATTCAAATTTATCAAAACTAATCAGGCTTAGACCTACACTAGTCTCCTACCTGTTGGAGTTTCCAGCTTTTCAGAGTCCACGTCCTTTCTACCTCTTAACTTTCCTGTTCTGGAAGATTCAGGTGTCTTTTCTGGAGATTTTCCTTCAGTTTTCTTTTCCATTTCTTTCTTCTTGTCTGAATTAACTTCTTTTTTCAAATCTACTTTCTGCTTAGGTGTTTCTGAACGAGTTATTTTAGTCTCACCCCTTTTTGCGGAATCACTCCGCAGTGGCTTTGGAGTTTCCCTTTGATTTTTTGAAGTGTCTAAAGTTTTTTTCTGGTCTGATTTCTTAGCCTCGACTTCTTTTTTTGTTTGCTCCGGGAGTTTTTTGGTCAATGAGTCCTTTTTATTTAACTTATTACCGTCCTCTTTTTTGAGATCTTTTTTACTATCCAAAACTGACTTTCTGACAGCTTCTATTTTCTCTTCGTCTCTTACCTGGCCTTTCTTTGAATCTTCTTTCTTCAAAGTATCTTTTTTGCCAGATTCTTTAGAACTATCTTTTTTTTGAGGTGTGTTATCTTTAACAGGAGTCAAAGTTCTCTTGGAACCTCTTTTAGGTATTTCTTTTCCAGTATTTTTAGGGGTTGTAATTCCTTTAGAAGAATCTGATTCTTTACTACTCTCTCCATCAGACAAACCCAATTTTTGGTCTTGAGATGAAGTATCCGACTCTGCCTGATTATCTTTCTGTAGTTCCACTATGTTTTCCATATTAGCCTCTGGTTCAGTGTTTTGCCTACGTATTGTTGGGGGGAGTTGTCTCAGCTTCTGCTCGATCAGTTCACTGTATTCATCTAGTGGTAGCTCAAAGTCTACTTCAACCGCACTGGCTGCATCTGCTTCTGCCTCAGCTTCATCCTAAAAAAATAAATAGTTTAGCAAGATTGTGAGAAGGAGTTTTATATGCCAACACCTACAATAATAAATCAGTCCCTAAGATTAAGCATGATACTGTCTAATGTGACATCGAGACATGTTTTCTAAATGGTAAAAATATGTACATGTGTACATTCCTCATATTTGCTCATTATTTCTGGATCCTGATTTTGATCAAAGGTTCTTAGGCCAGGTAACTAGGCGGAATCCCAGCAGTATTGCAGCACGTTATGGAAGACCCCAAACACAGGGAGCAGTGAAGGGACACTGCCAGCGATGTTGCCTACAGACTTAAGCCATGAAATCATATGCGGTTCCGACTTCTATTTAAGTTAGCTCAAAATACTAGAGGTAAGTGAGCAGCTTGATTTTCAGGTCAAGCCGCACCATAAAGCTCGAGTGATATGAAGATATCTTACAAAGTCACATCCTCGAGCTAAGATGAGCATTTATTCATAGAAATAACAGAAAGTGTCTGTAAAAATTTAACAGTCTAAAATTTCTGATGTCCCTGCAATTGTTGTGTAGCAACAATCTGTTTTTTAAAAACTGGTAGGAAAGGGGGGAGAGGGTGGCGGCAATTTCAGAATTGGTAAACTGAATATGAAAATGGAACAAGTGGCAATTATAATTACACTAGTGGCCTGTAGGGGCCATGGCCCCTAACCAGGATGTGGTTTTGCTCCTGACTTACAATCACATCTGATGCTTTTTGGTAAGATTGCGCTTAGGGGTTAACAGATAGTATGGTTGTTAACTTTGACAGTATTTATTGTTTTATATTTTGGTTTTCCTTTTGCTGGAGTCCATATGAAGGAAACTCCCCATTTTGTGGTAGTAAGTCAGAAAAATATATCTATGAATTTGTCCCTGAATTTTAAAACAGAAAGGCCCATTTCCTTGATTCTCTTTTTGTATAGCGGAAAGCGGCACAAAAGTCATTGCAATGTTGTATTGCCTTATATTTTTTATTAAGTTAGAATCATGTAAAAACAGTTCTTTTAGTTTGTCATTTACTTGTGGTTGTGGCATGTTAATGAGTCCATTGTGGCAACATGCGTTGAATTGTCCATTTGTGGCCTCCTCCTCTGCGAAGTGAAATGCGCCACAATGCATGCAAGTGCTGTTAAGAGGACCTAGATTGTGAGAAACAACACTCATGTCATTTTCCAGCGTTCTTCTGAAGGCAGGTTGTAAACCAGCTTGTGGATTTATTTCATAGTTATGCATTACATGACGTTCTCTTTCAGCATTTCTTGTGTCAGTTGAATTCCTGGATACTCTTCTTTCGTCTTCCCCTACCCTGTCTAGTTACTTCACTCATTATAAAAACGGAATTATTTAACAACATTGACTTTCGGAATAAATTAATGTAAACATTGCAAACAAATAAGTAACAGCTGGTTAGAATGCACAAGTTTTTCAGTCCCCATGATTTTCTTATGGTGGATATTTTACGTTATAGGCTTTCTCGTTTTCTGGTAACTTTATGGGAATTCCGCTATTTTCTTTAATTTAAGACCTCTCCCACTTTTCTGCAACTTACCAGACATCCACAATTTTCTGGTAAAAATGTTGTCTTACAGAATTATTTACAGACTGTCCCAAAAGACCCGTACCGGTTTAATAACTCCTAAACGAAACTAGCTTCAGTAATAATATTTCAGACATGACTCCTGGCTACAAAAAACCTTTTTTTGATGTGTTAGTAACTATTGCACCTGCGCCCAAAAACCAAATTTGGTGGTTTGCCCCAAATTTTTAAATGTAAACCCCTATTGAGTGACCCATAATGTTAAAGGTTTCATTGAGTTAAACACAACAGAACAAATCCGAGGTCGAGGTCCGAGGGGGCAGGGGCAATAGTCATGTCTGAAATATTATTACTGTAGCTAGTTTCATTTAGGATTTATTAAACCGTACCGGGACTTTTGGGATATGACCATAAAAAACACTAAAAGGTCAGCCATTTTGTACATGAGCGAGATATCGACCTTGAATTTGCGCTGATGTGTTTAACTCAATGAGACCTTTAAAATGATGGGTCACTCAATAGGGGTTTACACTTAAAAATTTGGGACAACCCCCTCAAATTTGGTTTTTGGGGGCAGGGGCAATAGTAGGCCTAACTAACACATCAAAAAATAGTTTTTTTTTAAGTACTGTATATGGTTATGGAGGCGTGACTTGTAGTTTTCTCAAAAGTTCATGAGTACTTTGGGATTTATATATGGATTTGAAAAAAACATTGGACCCGAACGGGTTGTTTGTTGACAATCCTCCAAAAACTGCTTCCTCTAATTTGAATTGTGTAAAATATTCTCAAAGGCAATTTCCAGTAAATCTTGCCTTTACGATTACGGTACATCGCAGTTAAGGATGTAGGCTGTTGTATTATATCAGGCTTTGGTGGACCTATGAAAGTCAAAATTTTTCCTCTGCTTAAACTACGTAGCATTTAGAACCACCGAGGGCTTGCCGATTGAGCCATTTTATATAGAGGGAGTCAAAAGCATAAATAAGAACAGTAAATGGCAAAAAAGAATAAAGAGATAGAAAGACTCAAGAAAATTGCTTATAACGATGGATTAAAATCAAGAGGTTTGTATTGATCAATAACATAAACTTATGTTTTATGTTGTAATCTCGTAGACTATATTTTTTTATAAAAAATTGTAGGTATTTGTGAAGAAGGTTATTTTTTATATCGTTCTCACTCCGCTCAATTGGCAGACATAGGCTACCTACATGAGGCAGCATACCTAGTACAATATAGAATATTATATGCTTTCAGGTAAATATAGAATATTGTTACCTCCCCCTAACTCATTTGATTGCAGATTTATAGCTACTAATTGGTCCAGAAAGATCATTTTACAATTGATACCTTAGCAAATTTCAATAATTTCAGCTCTAATCTGACAAATGTCCTCCGAGGCACTTTCCCACTACTTCCTCCTTACAAACTGGGGCTTAGGGTACCTTAAAGCTTAAAGCATAATAGTCTACCTTATGTGTGTATATTACACTTACCAATGCTTCCATGTCATACCAACAGTTAAGTTTCTTCCAAATGATAGATGGAGAAATTCTTTTGTTCATTGCACTTGAAAGACGCTCATGAATCTTTATCATGCGGAAATGTTTATGAGGACCTAAAACACAGGAACTTTGTTTAAAGGTGTAGAGATAATTTTAAAAGTGTTCAATAATCCAGCTTCATTGTAAGGAATTTTTTGTTGAATATAGGCCTATGTCTTTTTATTCGATCGACTATGATCAGGAGTAGCCTAATAATACCTAAAAGTAGTTTTTTGACTCATTATTTTAGTGGAACAGGTTTTTGCACTTTCCTCGTAATAAAGGCTTTTCAAACGGCTTTGGTAGCTGTGACCATCTAAGTTAAGTTAGATTAACTTATCATGGTTAGGCTACAAAACCTTTACAACTTCTTATTTATTAAGTAAAGACACTTGCAGCCATTTTAAAGACCCACTTGAAGAAAATGAATTGATTGAAAAGGGGGATTTCACAAGTATGAATAGGCCTAAGTAAATAGTAGGCTACAATTAGTAGTAATTTGTTTTTGTAGTAGGCCTACTATAAAATCACTGTTGAGTTTTTAAGTTAGTGTTATCAAGGGAACGTTAATTTTTACCAGCCTGTAGCATAGAATGCAACCTTTATTTTGGTGTAGGTTGGTACTAAACATTCCCGTAAAATCCTGTCTGGCAATGATTTTGGCCGGTTTTCGGGGATTTCCTCTATTCGAGCCACAACTTATTAGGAAAAACTCTGGTTATTGATCCAGGCAGTGCTGCTACCTTTGGGTGTTTCAGTGAACTACGTCCACTTTCAGGGTAACGCACAACAATTACCACTGCTCTATTGTGATTCGTCTTACTGAGATATTTCAATGCCAATAGCGATCGCTGATTCAGTTAGCGTGCCGGGGCTCCGCCCGGGCCTGTATAAAGGTTTTCAGCAGTGAACGTGTTAATAGCCTATATTCAACTTTTTTTAAGTAACTTAGGTCCTAACTTAAATAAATTAGGATGCACTAAGTAGGATAGTCGATGGTTATACTACTTAACTTATTTTAAGTGGAAATGTTTGAAAGAGTGCAAAAAACTTAACTCTACAAGTCAGTATCAAGAAGCTAAAAACCTAAGCTAGGCTCATAAACTAGGCTATATAATGTTGTTTCTTACCAACAGGTTTCAATCCATGAAGTGAATATAAAAGGAGAATTTCTTGATCTGGAGACCACTCTAAATCTTCTATTTCCTCGTCATTTGACTTTTCAGAACATTCCTCTTTGTTGTCCATATCTAGAATTTGTGCATTATTTGTTGATGTGCCCATCATCCAAAATAGGCGTAGGTACACAGCAAGACAAGCCTACCTTTGATTGAGAATCTATATTAAGAATAACCGAATAAAATAGTTGTACTAAACTTTACTGAAGAAAAAAACTTGATCTGGGGCCTCGACTTCTATTCCCAATTCTGAATCGTTGCCTTGCCGCTTATAATTGTTTCCAATGCCGCTACAATTAACCTTAAACCAATTAACCTTAAACAAGCAGAGCAGAAACAGAAACAATAAACAGTAAACATTAAAAAAGATTACAGAACAGACAGTATGCTCTTGTATGTAGGGGCCTATGACAGAAATTGACAGTCAGACAGACTACATAACACATTAGCTTACTCTACGTACTACCATAGATTAAACACTCTCCCATGGAAGTATGTTTAACCTCTTTGGTACTACCATTTAAGACTTTTAGCGAATTTCCCATATAGGGAAATAGCTATTACAGTAGTACTCATGGTAAGTCCGACGGGGAACCGATTTTTTTTTCGTTTTGGTCCCTAAAGGCCAAAAACCCCATCCGTTCAAATTCGTATATATATTATATATATATTCTTATTGAATAAATATATTGTTCACTATTGAGGGCTACTATTATTATTATTAGTAAATGAAATAAATAATTAAACATTTAGTACCCTTTAAGTTATTAATTTATCGAGTAACTGACATGTTTCGGCTCTTAGGCCATGATCACAGTTGTGAACAAATAGTAAATAAATAGAAATGTAAATAATAAATAAGTAAATTGTCATATGATTTTGGAATTTTGTCTAATACATAGGTTGGCTCCAAAGCGTATGAGTTTCCTGTTTCCCTCCCTTCCCATAGCATTTTAGGATTCCAGATACCTTATCTATCGTCATAAAAAGTTCTCACACTCCGGACTGTTCGCCTTTACTACTTCCTTGACCACTCACTACGTCACGGACCTGTTTCCCTCCCTTTCCATAGCATTTTAGAATTGCATATACCTTAATCTAATCGTCATAAACAATTTTCACACTCCGGACAGCTCGCCTTGACTACTTCCTTCACCACTTCCTACGTCACGGACCTGTCCCCCCCCTTCCCTTAGCATTATTGGATTGCAAATACCTTAATCTATTGGTCATAAACAGATCCCACACTCCGAACAACTCGCCTTTACTACTTTCTTCACCACTTCCTACTTCACGGCCCTTTTTTCCTCCCTTCCCATAGCATCATAGGATTGCAGATACCTTAATCTAATCGTCACAAACAGTTCCCACAGTCCGGACTGCTTGCCTTTAATACTTCCTTCACCACTTCCTACGTCACGGACCTGTTTCCCTCCCTTCCCATAGCATCATAGGATTGCAAATACCTTAATCTAATCGTCTTAAACAGTTCCCACACTCCGGACAGCTCACCTTGACTACTTCCTACGTCGCGGACCTGTTTTCCTCCCTTCCCATAGAATTTTAGGAATTCAGATACCTTTATCTAATCGTCATAAACAGTTTCCACACTCCAGACTGCTCACCTTTACTACTTCCTTCACCACTTCCTACGTCACGGACCTCAAGCTAGTGTCGTCATTTGGTTATATTTATGATCCATACCGTTTCTGTTCTAATATATGTGGAATAATAATGCTATCAGCTATTTCTTTATCTACTGCATTCAAAAGTCAACAGCTGGGGCCCATTTCATAATAAAGTACAAACTAATATTATTAGTAAATCAGCTTATCGCCCAATGCAAATCTAATGGAAAATACAAGTTACAAGTTGTAACTTGTAACTTGTAGTTTATTATGAAATGGGCCCCTGATCATATGTCTTTGTTTATGTGTCAAATACTGCTTCCATAAGGATTACATTGAAAATTTTAGACCCAGTGGGGCGGATTCCTGAGAGATTTCTTTAACGCCATATAGATGTCAGCACTCACCGGTATGGTCTTTATCACCATGCAAAATTTGAAAAATATTGATTCAGCCGTCTAGGAGGAGTTTGCGTATTACGAAATGCATAAGAGTCGACGTATAAGAGCTTCGCTCGCTCCGCTCAATGAACATAAATTTGTTAAATATTGAAAATAAAACATACAGAGTTGAAAAACCGAAACAATATGAATTAAAAATCTATATCTGTACACTTTTAAGCGGATTCAATATTGCCATAGTCCAGTAACCAATCTTTCGTAAATACACAAACACCATTAGCTCCTTCCAAATCCAAACAAAACAGCTGTTACAACACCACTTGCGACGTTGCCACTTCGAAGGCCGTGGCCTGGAGTTAAAGGCGGCCGTGTTAGCAGCCACTACTACCAACCAGCCACTGATTGGTAAATATGGCCAGCAGCCAGCGGATATGTAGGGTTCACATTATAACCATTAGCCACCAGTAAATAGCCGCTTGTATGTAAACGTCACCTCCTCCTACCACTCTTCTTTGACTTCTTAAATTTCATTTCTAAATGAATTACGTAGACTTCTTTCATAAGATCAAGGATGATTTTAGTCTTCGTTCTTCAAGTCTTTGACTTTGATATGACTCTATAAGCTGCATCTTTGGTATTCCTGCCTTCTTTGGTATTGTGTTCATGAAATAAATTCACTTATTTAACTAATAATAATAACAACGACCTATTGTCTTTTTTTATTGCCATTCCAAAATTCAATAATTTTTCTTTTTTCTATTTGACAGCAACTTAGCAGACGCAAAGGTAGCACTGCCTATGTCTGCTAGTTCCTTTATTTTATTGTTATATTTTTTGGCTTTATTAAAACTCGTATATTTTTTAGTGACCAAAGTCTCTGTCTATTATACTTTATTTAGTTTATAATCACAGTTTGTAGCCTATGTTTTTTGGAATAAACTATATTCATTCATTCCTGTCAATGAAGTTGTCAGACGAAGCATCCCTCAGGCAAGGATAATTTGGAAACTATAATTTGGAAACTATTATAGGTGGCGTTCGCAGATGCATCCACAAAATTGAGCGGAGTCATCAAGGGTTCAAATTATACTAGTTGCTCTACCCGCGCTTCGCTACGGGGTGAAAATACAGAAAAGAATAGTTCGGTTTTACTTTGAGATATTATAATATACTATAAGAAACAGTTACAACACACTTAATAGGAAACATATAGGCAAAGGCTCAATCGTGCTTATTGATTATTCAAATGAAGATCTCTCAATGTATTACAATACTATCATTTTATATAGTGTATAGCATTTAAAATATATATATATGCTAAAGTATAATTCATTAACCACATGGCACCATAAGAAACAATTCTCCTTGTAAACATAATTAAATTAAATAGCAGAACAGCATTTCTGACAACAGCTGGAGTTTCATAACAATGTTTGTTTCCCATGTTAATCTTATGGAGAAATATGAAACTTTAAAGGGCCCCGGGGCGCTCAATTTTTATTTCAGCTGCAGTTATTTTAATAAGAACAAAATGAGGGCATTCTATTGGCTGAGGGAACACCATTAGCGCAATGAAACGGATTGAAGCCATCTGCCTCGGTGGTCTAGTGGATAGCGTGCCTGGCTTCGAAACTTATGGTAGGGTACCAGGTTCGAAACCCATTTGGGGCACAAACTTTTTATCTAAGATATTTGCATTATCAGCAAGTTTGGTTAGTTTTGTTAGGTTATAACAGTTAAATTTTATAATTAAAACCTTATAAAATTGAATTTGAGCTATTTATAGTTTTATTTTATGAACAGAACTTTTTTTTCGATTAGTAAACCTTCATTCAATTTTTTCATTATCAGCAAGTTTGGTTAGTTTGGTTAGGTTATCACAGTTTAATTTTATAATTAAAAAATATAAAATTTAATTTGAGGCATTTATAGTTTTATTTTGTGAACAGAATTATTTTTTCTATTAGTAAACCTTCATTCAATTTTGTCATCATCAGCAAGTTTGGTTAGTTAGGTTAGGTTATGACAGTTTAATTAAAAAATTAATTAACTATATATTTTTTTAGTTTTAGGCCTACAATAGTTTTTTTTAATTTCTAATTTTTAAACTCTCATTTTGTCCCTATTAAAAAAAACTGCAGCTGAAATAAAAATCGTGCCCCCGGGGCCTCATTCTTTAATTATTTAGCAAAAAAGAAAGTTTCCTGCACAACTTCACGTTACGCTCTTTCCAATGACACCAAAATCATGTCAATCGGTTCAGTAGTTTCGGAGGAGTAATTGCCACAAAAAACTTGCTTGCGTATTAAATAAGTAATAGATTGTTTTTGTCATACTGCAGTAAAAACAGTCATCATTGGTGCATGCGTTGCGGGTCTAAATTAGCATTTTTATTCTTTAGGGAATAAAATTCGTTTAAGCCTCTATGGAGTAAAACTCAGCTGTTGTCAACTAGTCCAATCATATAAGGAATTTCCCGCGAAAAAATTCCCGAAGTTTTTTTCTCAGTGGTTTCTTATGTATTTTTTGGCGCTGAATCCGATTTTAAACTTTGTCACCTCGCCAGAGGTGAGCTTACTTCAGAAATCGCAAAAAACCAAATAAAATACTGTACTTGTTTAACTTTTTTGCGTATAACCTTTGACTATTAATACAACAACTTCTGTATCCAATAGTCAATGGTATAACTCACAAACGGAGTATTTTTTTGCAATAACTGTCATTTACTAAATTAAAGTACACTAAATTCCCTACAATATACGTACAATAACTTTATTTCTACGATGTGTGTCTGTTTGCTGATGATTGTAATGTGCTTATTCCCGGAAGATCAAAACAGCAGATTGAAACGTTTTCTCAGGAGAGTCTTTTATCCACAAAAGAATTCCTTGACCGAAAAAATCTGCTTATTAACACAGACAAATCCAATTTTATATCATTTTCCACTAAACAACGTAGACAAAATTTTGAACCAAACATTTGCATAAAATCAGAAAGAATAAACCAAGTAAAGCAAACAAAATTTCTTGGTCTAATTATCGATAAACATCTATCTTGGGAGGGCCATGTGAACTATGTGGTTAAAAAGGTATCTTCCGGTATCCATGCGCTGCGACAGATGTTCAGAGTATGCAGTTTAGACACTTTAAGAGTTGTTTATTTCTCATTAATACATTCACATATTTCATATGGAATTGTTCTATACGGGGCAACAACAAAAACTAATTTAGATAAAGTACTAATTAAGCAGAAAAAAGCTATCAGGGTGATGAAAAATCTTAAAAAGAAAGAG